TAGAGAGATAACAGGTATGCAATGACTTACTTGCGTTAACCACTAACCTCATTTTACGGGTAAATTCCTTTCAAAGATGTGTGCGTGAGGTACTGAATAAATATGGAATGTTGTTTACGATTAGTCTATATGTCCTTTGCTGACAGTTCAAAAATATTTAACTGTCATATTAATGTTTACAATTTTGTTCATTCTGGTCACGTGTTCTTTGGCTGTATGTCTGTGTTCATTAAAATTTAATTTTATTAAATTAAAAAGTAATTAATTATCTGTGCTGATTGTCTGCTGAACTCTATAGCTTTTGAAACATATGTTTTTTTTTGTCTCATCTTAAAATATCATAGTAGACAAGTACATTTTACCATCATCAGCAACCAACAATTTCTATGAACTCAATTTTTCCATTCCAAATCAGTGTGATAACTTTAAATGTGTTCTGTCTAAATGTAAAGTAATTTATAATTAGATACATGTGTGATAAATGTTTTCCTGATGGATAAGCAGTGTATAGCTATTTGTTACAGCCAGAAGAAAGGTTATGTTTTTGACTGCAGTATATTTGGGAGAAAAAGGAACAAATGAGTTATTTGGCCATAAATGAGAGGGGCCCTTATTTATATCTGATGATATATGATATGGCTATGCTAATTACTTATATTTAAAGTAATTATGTGTGACTTTCAGTAATATGAAATTTACCAATGAATTCCGTTTTTTTGGTTATGATTTAAAATAAAGTATGTTTTCAGTCTAATATGAAAAATGATAGTAAGTAAAAGGTGTTAAGTTTCTGACTGTGTAACTTGTAACTTAATACTTTATTGGGGGATCCAATATTTTCTAACATTCAAATATACTTATATTTAGCGTTATTACATTTACATGTTCTTTAAAAGGAAGTTGATATCACTTACATACTGTAGTTAACATCACTTCACTCAACTTATACTCACATCTTTGGGTTGTTTATATTAGAGGAAGTATATTAATTTATTTGGAGTAGCTACTGTAATTATTTTGATGGACATGTATGGAATCTTGTAGTGATGCGACAGCGTGGCTGTAACGCTTATTTAATATATACATAAAAGACTACTTATGACTTATTTTGGCATGTATGTTGTATGTAAATCCTATGAATGGCATTAATAGTGCAGTGTAGCTATTCATGTATGGTTTAAAAAAGACTGTAATTAATGTGGACTGTGATAAATACAGTGACAAAGGTTTTGTTCTATAAAATGCAGAATATTTACATATTGTCAACAGAATTTCTGGCAATGTACAGACAGCCCTAGACATTATCTGTATATTAGTTTTGTGCAATTTTTAAATTACGTGTATCGAATAAGGAACAGGAGAAATGAAACGAGGCCAATCCAAGCTCACATTTTAACAGGACATCATGTGTCATTGATCTTGTATTTACATTTTTTTCTGAGATTTTAAAAATAGTAAAAAAATTCTGATCTAGTTTCCCATTTTTTTGTTTTGGAACATATACCATACAGTATATGATTATTCTGTTGTTTTGGAACATATACCATACAGTATTATTCTGAAAAAAACACATTTTGCGAAAACCTGAAATTATTTCTTACAATAATTATTATATTCCAAGGTGATACCAGGGACATATCTAAGATTTTGTTTGTGTTTAGAATTTATTAAAATATGTTTACAAAATTTAACTTTAATACACATATTGAACAGATTCTTCATCAGAATTAATTTTAGAGCATTGGTGCGTGTTTGTTACCACAGTTGGCACTATTGTTTTCTTTAATTTCTTTCTAAAAGTCTCACTTTTTTAGTCTACTAGAACACAATTGAATGTCAATAATTGTAAGTGTGTTGTAATGAAGTTATGAAATAAAAAATTGTAATAATTTGAAGTTCTGTATGGTGGAAAATAAAATTATATTTCACCTTCAGAAAATTCACTGTAATTCGGTACAGACTAAGTTTTGAGGCCAGTGGCGGCCAGCAGCTCTTTACAGTAACTGCATTGAGTATAGTTTTTCTTGAGAAGCAAATAGTCACCAGCTGGTCAAGAAAACCATTGCCATTTATGGGACCCGGAAGTTCATTACAATGTTCGCAAGAGCCCGCCACTGGACCGTAACCTGAACCAGCTGAATCCGGTCCCTTTATATCCCATTTCTCTAAATTCTACCTTAACCTCATTCATTTATGTCAGGTTTTCTGACCAAAATTGTGTATGCATTTCTCATCCCTCCAATGCATAGTAGATGCTCCATCCAACTCTTCCTTGATTTTGTTATTGTAATAACATTTAGTGAAGAGTATAAATTTTGGATCTCCTTATCATGCAGTTACTTCTTCCCTCTTGGGTCCAAATATTATCCTTGGCATCCTATTCTCAAACACTCTCAATTACTTAATGTGAGAAACTTGATTTTGCACCCACCCAATAATAGATAAAATAGTCCTAGTTATTCGTTATGTTTTTTGGTAAAGAGTTGGAAAGACAAAACCATTCTAAACCAAATATTACCTAGCATTCACCACATCCATCTTATTTTAATTTCTTTATGAATTAATTTTGATTTAGTATTGTCCTTCCAAAATATTTTAATCTTGCCCGTTTTCAACCAATTTATTACTTCATACTTGTTCCTGATATATTTTTTACTAATTTAAATTATATTCTGAGTGACATTGAATGGGTTCTTGCCTCATGGTTTTATTACTGTTTGTAAAAATGTGTTCAACCTGGAAGATGTCTGAAAGTCACGTGCACTTATGTAGTTAGGTGGCCTGGTGAACAGCGATTCTTTATTTTTGAGCACTAATTCAACTTATTTAATAACTATAAAACTTGTAAATGTGTATGTAGGGTTCTCAGGAATTAATTAATCTGATCATTGGCAGTCTTCATTGAATCCAGAGAACATTCCTGCATATGAGATGCTTCAATTACGCTAATAGTCTGGCAAATGCAATGCATTGAAAGGAATGACAGATTGAACACAAGAATTTATATTATACTATCTGAAAGTGTATTAATTAAAGAAAATTTATTCAAAATTTTCTGCAGCAATGTGTAAGTCCATAAATTGCAGTCTTGTAATTCATATATTGTAATCATTATACTGTAAAATAAACTTACTTTTTAGTTTTAATAATTGTATTAATAATAAAGAGATCAGGTAGTATTTCTTTGTTTCTGGAATTTGTGTAAGTCTGTAGATAAAGTGTCACCTACTGTTATGAAAACTATCATAGTGAAAATGTCAATTTAAATTAGATATTTATGTCAATATGTTTAACCTTCTTTAAGATGTAATTTATAAAATAAGTTTTTATTTGTTTAAGGTTAAGAAAAAGTGTAAACTGAAGGAAATAATGTGTGCTGCTTCAGTAGAATACATAATACATTAATTAACTTTTCATATCTAGCAGTTGATGCATGTTTATTGATGTGCAAAGCTTTATATTTGCTGCTATCCTGTAAATTACTTTTGCACTTTCATAAACCAGTTTACAGCATGTGACCATAATGTATGTGTAGCCACGTAGATAGACATTCAGATTTGCTTTTATGTTGCACAATACCACTTATAAAAGTAGTACATTATTAGAAATACTGATTGGGTATCCTGCAAAATTTTATTCGGTGATTAATTTCTTTCACTTAAAAGTCTAAAAATTCTATTTTCAGCCGAATATTTATGGCAGAGGAGATAGAAATGGAGAAAGATGTGCTTAAATAATGGTGTTTTACAAAAATGTATTTATTTCTTTGTAAAAGATGGACATTATTATCAGTTTCTGATGAACGTGAAGACCAGTGCAAAATGACAAAGAACATATTTGAAACGTGTTCTTTAAATTAGAATACTTCTACCGATAGAGCTTTAATAGCAATTATAAAATTTTACAGCTACATTAATTGGTCATCAGTATTTTATTCCTGATAATAGAAACATGGAAATTGTCCTTCACTGTTTATGTTTTGGTGGTATATTTTGTACTAAATTATTTGTACTAAGTGTCTATAATGTAGCCTTTCCATACGTGTAAATCACTAATAGATTATTTTTAACTAAGAAGACTACTAGCTCTGCAAAGCCATTGTTTGATAGGTTGGTATGAATACTGAATAGAATCTATTTGATATGAATGGATTGTGATCATCTAGGTTGTGAGGCTGTGTAGCTGTACAGTTGGATTATCTGAAACATTATTTACCACCCAGAAGACTGCATCATAAATTCCTTGAAGACCATAGTTCACATTTTACTGAAATGGAAACCTCAAATTTCACATATCTGATCTGATGTACTGTGACTGCAGCTAATGATCGTAACTTTCTTCCAGTGTAATAGAGCTTTGACAAGCACACGCTCAGACTGTTAGCACTGAATCTGAAAGCTTATAATGTTGCAGTTAGATTAAACTTTAAGCGTATAGTTTCCTTTCAGTATGAATGATTTATTCAGAGGGAAACAAGTAACGTATAAATATTTCTGTCTTCTGGGTTGTTGCGCTGTGTAGTATGGACGATGCTAACCAACGTTTCAGAGGTCATACTGCCTCCGTCATCAGGGCGATGAATATAAATTGCAGAGGCAGTATGACCTCTGAAACGTTGGTTAACATCAACCAGACTACACAGCACAACAACTCAGAAGACAGAAATCTTCATACTCACCGCTGTGAAAACCTCAAATCTTACAAGTAACGTATAATGTAGTAGACAAAATTATAAGTGATACTTACCCATCAGTTTTCTTCCGCAGAATACAAACCAGAGCATAAAAGCAAGAATAATGTAGCATGCTAACCACCTACAGTCCTACATAGAATGTGACGAAAAATGCAGGGCTCTGTTTGTGTATTTAATTTAAGTGTCTCGTCACTTGACAGTGGATTTTGCATGATGGTGAGACATTTTTAGAAGAATGCAGATGGTTGTTTTAATTATTTCCCATTGTTTCTCTGTTGTTCCCACTGTTCTGTTGTGTGTTGCGCAGCATCGCAGTCAAGCTCGGTGAGCAGCGTCACAAGTGGGGGTAGGCGAGCCACTGAGCCATCAGCTGTCACGGAAGCCTCGCGAGGACCCTCCATGTTTGGTCGTCAAAGTTCTACTGCTACTCAGAATGGAGAAGATACAGAAGATACTATGAAGAATCTAAGAAAAACATTTGCTGGAATTTTTGGAGATATGTAGAGACATTGTTAATACCATTTTTATATATGTATATAATTTAAAATTGTTCTTGAAGAAGACGGAGAGATTTTAGGCTGATAATGGAATCCTCTTGTGTATTTTTTTTATAACTGTGTTTTGGTGGGAAGTATAATTTTAGTTGTATGAATTTTATAAGACCGCAGCAAGGACAAATGGTTGTTTTTCGGAATATGTTGCAAAGTTAGTACAATGTGATGACTGTGGCGTGTCTCTTGATACATAGTATCATGCAACATTTGATGTATTGAGCCCACATTTTATATTTCAATATATTGTATTAAATATAAATCATACCATCTGATAACACAGAAAATTACTATCAACATTGAACGTTTAATGTCTTCAAATTTTTATGTTATGCATCCTGCACAACCTATTCAAGTCTTTTGTGTTGGTCTTCATTCACGCACTTGGTATGGAAATATGGCTCTACCACAATGTTTGCTGTGCATAAACTGACTAAGAGCCACTTGTTGGTTTGATTGTATACAGCCTTTGTAAACACATTGTAATGAAATGCAGTCTCGTTCAGAAATGAAGATATGAAATAAGGTGTAGGATAAAAGGAAACAGAAAGAAAGAAAGAAAAAGTACAAAAATACTGTTGTTTATGATTAAGAGCGTACAATGGCCGTTGTGCAGACTGCATAATATAAGGTATTTGAAGGCATTCAACATACGTTCTGTAATAATATTCATAATTTTAGGGCTGTATCTTGCAATCGAGACATGTATGATGGACTTTGGCTATTAGATTCTGGCAGCTGAAGTAAAGTTAATGTGTTTTGTCTTTAGTTCAATACCAAGTGAATATCAGACATCACGACTGTCATTTAGTTATTGAATTCTCAACCCAATTTTCTGAAAAATGTTTGCTGTACCCCTAATTTAGCTTGCAGGGAAGAAAATTGGGGGCAGTAACACAATTTGTCCAATGGGTTGTACATTCCCATGCTTGCTGACAATTTAACTTATTAATTAATTAAATGTTGCAGGTCATAAATGATGCATGTAATGTTATTACCATGCTCTTTCAACTAAATTATAAGAAATGTATATTAATATAGGAGAGCTGTATTATCAGCCTGAAGACTCCCTCTCTTTTTTGATTGATTTTGCTGTGGTAGGCTGTAAATTGCCACGTAATTGTGATTGATAAATATGTCCTAATAAGGTTAACATGTTGTTTCTCTCTTCTGGTTAAGTGGCATTGGTAATTAATTTATTTTATTGGATTAATTAGTGAGATATTTATGAATAATCAGATCATCCACAATGGCCAAAAATTTAAAAAAAGGAATTAATACTGAATGTTTTGTTTTTTGGTTGGCACTTCTGTTTCATATTCAGGAGGTCCAAGGTTAAAATCTTGTCAGGTACTTGGCTGTGCATTAAAAGGTAATAAATATTAATTTATATTGCTGCTAGTACTAAATATATTTTACATTAAACAGATTGTAGGAATTTTCCTGCAAATATTTATTCATTTATGAGGAATTTTCATTTAACTGGTGTTATACATTCCATATTAATAAATTATTCATTAATTTATTGTTGTAGCCATTACAGTCATATTATGTTACAATACTACACAGTGAGAGAAATATCATTTTCTTTCTTATTGACATGTATGTCATAATAATTCAGCTACAAAATTTTAGAATGTGATTATTTGTTATTGTTAAATAAGGAAGTCCATTTTAGCATTGTCTTTATAAGTAGTATTCTACTCAATACTCTGTTACAATATAATTCACAATTCAAAAGGGCCTTCTGTTTTGGACAATAGTTGTGATCTAGAGAGTTTTAGACGTCTTTTCATGCTGGTAATCATTTCAAGACTATTCTCAAATACAGCTGTTGAAAGCACATGTAGCATATACCTATGTATTGGTGTTTCACATTCTAGATTGTGTCAGGCTTCCATGCCAGTATGCCTCAAAAATATAAAGTTGTTAAATTTCACTTAATCTTGCAAAGATATATAGAAATATGAAAATGAGAACATGATTTAAAATGTTTCCAGTTTAAGTGCCCTATTTGTTACCGATAGAATATTTATTTCTGTTCTGTTATCATTAAATTTAATTTTATATGGTACGTGATTTTTAGTATGAAATTGACATCACGAATGTAAGATTCACAAAAAAGCATCAGTTGTTGAAACTTCATTAATGATCTGGTTAAGTCAACATTGCATGTGTGTTAGTGTCTTTTTTATACAGCTGAGCTAATTACTAAATGTAAAAAAAAATACATTTTATATGGGGCCTCAGTTTATTTATATTGTGCTCTGAAACATGTGTTATGTGTAAAAATGTAAATGTTATTATTGTTTCATAATGTTCAAATTATGCTGATGTTGTTCTTTTGGGTTGTGATGTCACATGGACTTGTAGGTAGATATCAGTGTTTTCGAGGAACATAATCTTCATTTTCAGCCTCCCAGAATGCAGCGTCTTGGGTTTGCCTCACCCTTCCAGAAGCCATATTTGTTGCCATGCCTTTAGGAAATATGATATGGACCTATATGGACAGGCCCATAAGGTGTTATTTGCTGACACTAAAGTGTGAAAAACAATAATTATTTACTCTTGTAACACCACATTCTATGTCTTAAGGATACATAGAGTAATTCCTCAAATGAGATCAAAATATCTCTGAATGGTGTATCATTTCTGTGCCAAATTTTTTTTTCATAACTATTTAATTTTTACATACCAGCCTTTAGAAATTGCATGTATATTTGTGATACAATTTTTGGTAAATTAAAAGGCACAAGCTGTGTTCTCCTTCCACTGATTCTTCATTTGTTAGTAACAGAAATAAATTATGGGCCAGTCATTACATAACCTCAAAATAGTCTCTGGTCATACACAATTTCTATTGAGAAATTATTAATGGAGTTTCAGTAACAACATTAAATGATGTAAATCATTTATGCCATTTGACTACCTGGAATAACTCGTGTAATAAGCAACCAAAAATACCCCATCCACCCCCCCAAAGAAAAAAATTAAAGTTATTTAATAATTTAAATAATATATCTATATAAGGTGTATTTCTAGAGGCAATATTAGTAGTGTTTCAGAATAAAATGTCAGTAAATAATTATTTAAATTTTAAAATATGAAAGAAAGGATTATGAAAAGTACATAGCATTTTAAATTTGATTTGAACAAATTGATTAAGATTTAATTTTGAACATGGAAATTTGTGACTAATGAAACATCAAGCTGACTAACATTAGTTAGAGGAATTCTGTCACTTCTCTAAACAGCTGAGGGCAGATTGGTGGAAGTTTCCTTTATAATTTCACTGCATGGAATGTGTAGACAAGGAATTGTGTGGTAACAAGTTATATGCTAGATTCTGTCATAGCCCAAGAGTACAAAACCCACATTACAAAAAAATGAATAAACGTAGTCCGCTATCTACTGACAAAAAAATTATTTTATCCTTCGTCAGCCACATGTTTAGATTTACATGTGATCCAGTTGAACTGCATTGCAGTAGCATACAACCAAACTATTAACCCAGGAGTTAAAGTCCATTCTGGAGCCCCGTAATGTGGTTGATTTAAAATCTCCTATTCCTTTACAATAGAATTTATATATGTTAGAACATGTTCTGTTTGAACTCCGAAACAGTGATTTAAATCACTTTTCTTGCCTGTGAAGTAAATAAAACTTTACTAGTAAGAAAGAAATGTATGAATTAAATGTTTTCATCTTATGTATACCGTTACAGACATTATACTTCCAGCTGTCAAACATTTTGCATCCATGAATTCAGTTATAAATGTTAAAGCTTTCCATCATGGCCCATGAAAGATAGATATTCCTGTCACAAAATCTACGACTATGTGAAAATGTGTTTATTTTGACTAAATTTTGACATACTACCTTTCATATAGATCATTTAGCCTGTGGAACGTGTCAGATTTCAGCTCTTTGGTGAATAGTTAAATTAATTTCTATTAAGACATTTTTCCTACAGTCAATTTTTGGAAACTGAATAATTTTTGCTGGCAATTTACTCTGTAAATTCTTTGGAATAATTGTGTCATGTATTACCTATGTCATTGAAATAATGTTATTGATATCTCATATTGTTATTTAATCACCAATGTATGTATAAATGTTGATGTGTGATAAATGAAAGCACATGGATGTACATCACTGCTGCAGTATCATTGGTCTGATGATTCTGCAAGTACTCAGTATTACCACAACCTCTCATATCTTAAGACAATTGGCTCTAGATTCTGAAGGAAATATTGCAGCAGCCATATTTATCTTGAAAATTTATTATTTTTTAATGTGTTTATTTAATTATGTATAATTTTCAATAAAACGAATGAGGAAATAGAAAGAACATAGTTCAAACATTCCTGTTTGTGCAAAGATGAACTTCAATTTCAAATGTTTTAAAATATATTCTACTCTGTGATATTTGCCATTTTTTCTCGATATGGTTGCAATACATATTGAACCTGTACAAATGTTTAACACAGTATCTCTGTAACTTAAATTACCACTTTGAAAAATCAAATTGTGTGATACAGGTTTATTTGAAATATGTTTTGTATTGTGGGAAGAATTGTATTTAAAATTCAATGTAGAATTAATTACAGTTTTGACAATAAACGTCCTTTTTGATGAGAGACTCTAGGGCGAGAAGCCGCGTCAGATGGCTGAATGGTGAATGAACCATTTCTTCCCGCCAACGTTTTGAGAGCCACCTCTGCTCTCATCCTCAGAGAGTCTTTCATCAACTTCAGTCGCTGCGAAAGATTCTTTTTCTTTATATATGTTTATATAACTACTGAGTCTTCAGTTTTGGCTTGTGAGATAATTCCAGCAAGAAACAAATACAGAACCTTCATAATAAATGGATAGTTTAAATAAAAAGCAGGGTTTTTTAAATCGAATGTTGACAATTGAAGCAAAGCAGGCTTGGAACATTTGCCAATTATTTTATCTCATAACTCACAGGTTAAAATTTATCAGTTTAATACATCTAAAGAAAAAATTCATGATCTATGGCCTTCTGTAACATAATGAAGCCTTTGTATGGGTGTGAACCAATGCTATGAAATCGGTAAAATAATGGTGGTACAATTTACAAGTCTTAAATTAAATAAAATTAATGTTGTAAGATTCATTTGGTCTTTCCTCTCAGCCTGCACCAAATTGTATGTGAAAATTTGAGTGTGATATCAAACCAGATGTCTACACTTGTACTGTGGTGAAAAAGTATTTTCTTCCATAGATAACTTTGTAATTCAAATTATATAATTTACCAACTTTTTTATGCCCAAAGTTTTATCACACTTGGGTTAAAATATTCTTCCCATAATTCAATGCTATAAAATCTCAGCTGCTGACAGTGTCATTAAATAAACCACAAATAAATAAAACGTACCTCGTACAGTGAAACCTGTATATAACGTGCCCAGTTATACCACAGATTTGGATATATTACAGCATTGATCATGTCCTCCAATATGATTACACAAATTTTACATCATACACTTTTATGCAAGTAGCTTAGAATGTGGGCACTGTAGTTGTCCCCTGATTCCTGTGTTTTATCAAGGTTTCGCTGTATGTTGAACTCATTTACTAGTGAATAGTATCCTCGTACTGATTCATATTGTTTCCAGCTCATATATTTCATCTCCTGTTTGGTGTAATATGAGAGGGACTGGTGCAGAATAATTCCAAAACCAGCGTATCTTCTCACAAGTAGAACGCAGAGAAGAAAAAAACTTTTCATGCAAATTTCCTGATGACTATTTAAAGTACTACAAGCAGTGCTGTACCAAGTTCCACGTGTTAAAGTTTTTAACAAAAATTTAAAAAAAAATCAAGAAAACCAACGACAACTTTAATAATTATATGTGAATGCATTATTGATCAATATTTATAGTGTGGTATATTAACTGTTGAGCATAGGTACTTTACAATAACAAATTATTGTTATTGTTGTTGAGATAAAGCTATAAGAAGTGTAATAAAAATATTTGCTATTGGTGTATTTATGCACGGTAAAATTTGCCATGTTGCATTTGAATTGCTGCCTGAAAAATATTGTACGCCTTGAATGGAACAATACTGGTATCAATATGGATGTCTCTGTAAATGGTGTATGTGAGTTATGAAATGTTAATCTGATTCAAGTGGCCATTAAGCTCACGTGTTTATACAGTGATTTTATTTAAATATGCTTCAGTCTGTTTTAAATTGTAAATAATTATTTTATTTAATTTGTGTGGTTCCCAGCTCTGTTGGTTAATTTGCACACTTGTATTGTGTCTGTTACATATATGATGTTTCATTGTTTGGGGGCACAGAATTTCCCTTTTTGCTAAACATTAGGTGGACTTTTTAAAGGAATAAGTGAGATATTAGCTGTCAACACAGCATATAGTATATGTCATGTTTCTGCTAATAAAATCAGATAGTACACAGTATAAGGTACAGTAGTTTTAATTGAAGTTAAAATATGTTATTAATAATAAAATTCTGTCTATAGATGTATGTTAATAATACAGTACTATAAAAGTTTTGCTGGAAGATATTTTTCATGTGGAGTTTGTCGTACACCTCCTGACATTACAGTAAAATACATTTTTATCTTTAGCAAAACTTTTATAGTACTTTATCATTACCACGCATCTATGTATATAATTTTATTATTAATAACAGGGATCTCTGCTATATTTTAATTTTAATTTAAAAATATTGTACCAATCTCTTTATGTTCATATTTAAATGGTATTATAAAACCAAAAACTTAATGGTTATTTTAAAGTACATAGTCAGTACTGACGTTTCATATATTGTGTACCACCTGATAATGACATTAATTGAAATATATGATGCTTTTCAAAATAAAATAATGTTTTGAATGTTGATGTGTTAAGTTGAGGGCTCCATTGTTATCTATAGTAATGACAAAAATAATGATGCAATAGAATTCATAATACGAAGCTTAAAAAGGAAGTCAGTGGTCTAAACATTTATGTATTTGTCAGCTGAACATCCCTCACTAAGCTGATATGCGGCAAACCACACACTACCCAGACAATATGTGTTCATAAAATGGTAACTCGTTCTGACCCTATGCTGTGCTTAGGTAGGAATTTATTATGATTTATATGAGTCATATGCAATGTGTTAACTATAATAATGTTGAAAATCGACTGATCATGACAAACTTTACCTTTTTTAAACACTATGTGAGGTCCTCAAATTTTGCTGTTTGTTGTGTATTTATTTAGTGTTCTGTCTGACGACAGGTCCATAGGAACAGGATTTATGTATAATATTTGGTGATGATAAATTTTTATGGTTGGTAGTTATGTTTCAGAGATGTTGGTCTCCATTGTCACAGTTGAAGTGACACACAGCTGACCTAGTCTTCATGTTAATATGAAGAATCGCCTTCTGTTCTGTTTCACAGTTGCATATTTCAAACTATAAATACGACGAATATGTCACCTTTCAGTGAATTTACCCTGAAGATGTGGACTGCAAGCTTTATAAATGTTTGTATACCAGCCTGTCATAACACAATGTCATTATTCAAAATGAAAGAAAAATACTTAAAATTTAGCAGACTACTGTTAAAGCCACAACAACTCAGAGCTTTAATGACTTACAAATTTTGTGTTCAGCGTAATTGTGATTCAGTATTTAATTTTATTTTTGACATTTTTCTGAGGATTATGCTTATTTTAATGTAAAGACGGCATATGCATTCTTCTAGTATGTCTTTTGATCATGTTTAGAACATTAATTTATCATGTACAAAATTGTTTAAAGAAAACTGAGCTTTAAACAGATTAATGTTTATTTTTAAAGATGTTGTATTATACAGGCTTATGTGTACAGGCAAATAGGGTCTTCCTGTGTTAGAAGAGATTTCCAGAATAGATCATCCTCAATAAAATCTTGTGGGCAATCAGCCACATCACTTGCGTACATGACTTCCTTTCTGCTGTACATTGTCTTACTTTGGGTTTTATTATCCTGTGTTATAGCAAAATTTATTGAATATTGAGTAACAAAACACTGTGTGAAGTTAAATAAAATGGCTGAAGTTAAAGAGTGACATTTCAGATATATTGTTTTCTTGATCAACCCCTTACACCTTTTCACTTTTGTTACCTGTTACTATAACAATGTTACTAACTCCATGGTAATGATTCTGACAATTCCTGTTTTCTTGGATATTCTTGATATATTCTACAGCAGTGTTGAAAAGAAATGGTATAAAATTATCTCTTTGTTTCAGATCATTCTGAATAGGAAATGCATCAGATGTTTACGTGTAAGGAATTTTCTGTATGTTTCTTTAAACATTTTATTTAGCGTAAAATGTTTCGTGGGTATGCCAGATTCAGTGAGAATGTTGTGCAATACTTCTCTCCTTATTAAATAATAGCTCTGTTGAAGTTTTATGTGTAGCTGATATACTCTTAAATTATACAGCCATTTTTTATCCAGTATCAGATGAATGCAAAATATCTGATCAGTTACATCAAAGTCCATGCTGATGAACCTCATTAATTTTATTTACATGTGAGTTAACCTTGAAAGAAGAATGTTGGATAACAATTTGCATGTACTTAATAACAGTGACTTTCCTTGGGCAATTATATCGGTTTTGCCGACTGATCTTCTGGTTTGTGACACCATGTGGTCTTGTAAGTGACTAGCATAATTTTGGAGAAGTGATGGTCACCACCCACAAGACCATGTAATTTCATAACCCAGAATATTGCAATCAGTATACTCATAACAAAATAAAACAATTACAGAATTTATGGTTGAGATTTCAGGTTCTTAGTGAATATGAAGATGGCTGTCTTCCGGGTTGTAGCATCACCTACCCTGGTATAAGTATATTAGTGTTTCAGAAGTACTCACTGCCTCGCCCTCTGAAATGTCAGCAAAGTTCTACCAGACAATGCAACAACGCAGAAGACAGCCACCATCATATTTGGTTCAGGTAGATTCAAATATGTAAATGATTCATATGGGAGTTTATTTATAGTTATTAAATATGTACAAATACATGCAATAGCTATTACATGATTCATAATTTTAAGAAATGAGAATTTATTCACCATTTATTAATCATATACATAAAACATTATATACACTTCACTTACTTTTGTGCACACACATTATTTAAGATAATTAACACTTAATATACATATAAACATAATTTCATTACCTGTCTGCTGCGCTATAACACAGGATTTTTATCTGACTCCAAAGCTGTTAGAATGGAAATTTCATAAAATAGGCTGTGGATCCATCATAGTGTTCAAGGAGTAATTTCTATACATCCCACCTTTTACCAAGTGACTGCTAAACTTTTGTGACAATGGATAAAAAACTGTGGGAACTGTGTGAATAGTGGGTGGATACCATCCGTAGTCCAACGATGTTGTGCGATAAAATGGGTGTTCAGGACGTCGTCGCTGGCAGCCATAGCCTTTGAACCAATCTGTGAACCACAATTAAAACAGATAATAACATGATAGGCAGACACTAAATGTACAAGCAGTTTTTAATGACTTTGAAATTACATTACTTCCCAGTGTCAACTACATTATCAACAACAGATGTAGTCCAGGTGGCATAATGCTAATTTTTTTGAAACCAAGAGTTGAATCAAAATTTTCAATAGTCTACCATCAATTCTCACAAGTCTTGTAAATAAGAAGGAGCAATTTAAGGTAGCATTAAAAAGACACTTAATTATACACTCCTTTTACTCTGTCAATAAATTTATGTTGTTTACAAATAAGGGATAAATTTTTCTTGTGTGTAATGGGTAGATCTATTTGTAGCTTATCATTTCTTTAGGTGAATACTTTGTTTTGTATTATGTGAAATTGATATAATAGTATGAATTGTACTTTATAATATGTATTGTATTATTATTATTATTATGACTTTTTCCACATCCTGTTGTCATCTGACTGTCTTATGGATCCATGGAATATTAATAAATTATTATTATTATAAAGTCTGACCAACAGTCCGTAGTGCATGGGTTAAAAATCCCCTATTCTTATAAAAAAAATTAAGGATTTACAAAGTAATGGCTGCATACATCTAGCATTAGAGAAAACAATAATTTTAAAACCGTTAATAATAAAATAAACTTACAAGGTCTATCAAAACGAACAGGTAAATTTGCTGTTCGGTAGAAATCTGAGGTCTTCATTTCATCAACAGGAACACCTGATCTTGGAGATGGGCAGTGACAGCAGGCCATGACACTTCAGTCACATGCCTGGAAAGGATTACTATTCTAATATTTCCACTGTCTACAGTCTTTATCTGGTTTCTGCTATAACACTAATTAACTCCTCCACATATTCTAATATAACTTCAATCTTCTCTAGCTGCTGATTATGTAATTTGCTTCACATCACTTCAGTTGCTACAGTGGAACATGAAAACTCAAGCTAAGGGACTTCTTGAAATAAACTTCTACCAGACTACACGGCACAACAACCCAGAAGACAGCCATCTTCATACTGCTGTGAAAACCTCAAATCCTATTTCTTGAAGTTAGTTGGTTTTAAGGTTAGAATATATATTCTGGTTTATGAGAGACTTAAGATTATTGTTGTAATTAATAAACAAAATAATCATTAAAACGTGCTACTAACTACTAACACACTCTTAAATGTACCAATATTTGAAACATAATGTGGGCTCATAATGGGTTGTATAAATATTTCTTATTTTTAAGTGTGGCAGTTTTATGTTTTAAGATACAGTTTGATTAACTTATTTCTTAAATTTACCTGTACGAACATGTCTCAAAGAAATTAATTTATGGTTCTGTGTAACAGTGATATAATTATTTATATAACTACACAAATTCAGTAACCAGCTGTGTTTTGTAAATAACTATTGGTTTCTATAGCAACACCCATTTTCCGTATATCGCATGCCATCTTTCGGACAATCATAGTACTAACTGAAAAGACATTTGCATTGATGCAGAACATTTGGGGTTGAGAATATAAAAAAGTAGGGTATAGGTGGCAATTGGTATGAGTTGGATTGTTGGTAAGAATATTTATTTTTGGCGTAAGTTACGTATTTGATGTTCAGTTTTGGATGAAATCTGATATGTGATTGCTTTGATCGATATAAAAGGAAAAGAATGGTATCGTAATTAATGGAGGGCGTTCATGTTTATCAACAAAGGCTTACTTTCTCTGCAGCTTTTCGTTTTTGACAGTGCATTAATATAAATTCCTATCGCAAAGTGTACTCTGAGTTTTAATTCATATATGACCTTTTTGTGCGTTGAACAAATTTATTAAAGTTAAGCATACCTATCGTAGATGAGAATTTGAAGGTCGCAATTCGTGTAGTGTAAGGGCAGTCTAATTAAAGTAACTTAATGGAGCAGGGTCCTTGAGAAGCAAAAAGTTACACATCTAGTTAAGATATTCCCCGCGTTTAATAGAATTATAAGGTTTATTACTGTGTTCACAAGCCTGTTAAAAATCACTCCTTAGCAAGGTGAATCCAGTCTACACCTTCCAACTTTATACCCTAAAGATCCATTTTAAAAAACTCCCATCTTCAGGTAGGTAATCAAGTGGTTACTTATAGTTTCCTAATCCTCTTGTTACTGTTTTAAAAGGACCTGACATTCCAAGTATCAAAACTGATTCCCATTTCATGTTACTTAGGTTGTTCCAAAGAATCTATCAGTTGCCTTGTGTAACATTTTGTAATATACTGGTTTTTTATGATAAGTTGTTAGTCCTAGCAGCCACCCTCCGTATCTGGAGGTCTTTTCTTCTACATTCTGAGGCCATACCATGTTGTGGTGACAAGGATCCCACTTAAGGGCATCAGCTGAGATGAATAGCTCCTAATTGATTGTGATGAATGTGAAACACGTCTTTATGTATCTTTAAAAGTGTAGCAGAGTTTTCTGGATTACTGTGTTTTTGGATTTTGTGCATCATCTGGTATTATAAAGGAAGGGTAATTAAAATTTGATCTGTTTTCATCCTTAAGTCTAGGAATGAGGGACACCTTCTTACTTGGATCCATTTGAAAGTGCCAACCAGTCACTCAATAGCTCTTTCAGACAGACCGAACTGAATAGGTGTCCCTCGTCTATACACGTGAGGAAGAAAACATCCAGTTTTAAAAAAATGTGTTTTTTTAGAATACGAGACAATGCAGAAAGTTAAAATACTCAATAATCTAGATTGTAATACACCATTGTCATAAACCTTTGGAATAAATTTGTAGCAAAACTTTATTTATACTATTAAGTACATGTTTTAGACAAATGTGTGCTAATTTTTTTTTGTACTAATTATGTGAATCAATTTTTCTTAAAGGACTGAACTGTCTGAAAAACAATGATGTTGAAAGAATGCTGTTGTTAAAATAGCACAAGCTCGAATCACTCGTGCCTCTGCTTTCTGTGCACTCAAATTCAACATGGTTTGAAGTTGATCGAGTCAACGGAAAAGACGGAGAAACGGGTGACTCAAAGGAAAGGTTAGATCATGGTCCTTTATGGGACCAGACAACGAAGCTCTTCATTCTTGAACTGCCTTGCAAGAAACGTGATCTGCTAAGGCTGAGGCAGTTTGATTTGTCGGTTTTTGTAACTGATACCTACCACCATGCAACAAGAAGGAAAGCCAAGATTCTTGAAATTTCACCAAGGAAGCGTACGTGGAGTTGCGTTCAGTCCGAGGGTAAGTATAGACTGTTATAGATATAAATGTATCATTGTTAACATTGCTTCTACGAAAACATTTTTATACCAGTAAACAGTCAAATTTGAGGTTTTCGCAGCGGAAGTACGAAGATGGCTGTCTTTTAGGTTGTAGCACCAATGTAGTTTGAGTTGAGGCCCTGATGATGGAGGCAGCAAGGACGTATTAAATGCAGGTTAAACGTCTACTAGACTACACAGCACTACAACCCAGAAGACAGCCATTTTAGTAAACATTTGGGAATGAAGTGTTGTGAATGATATTTGCCACATTCTAGACTGCACTTCAGAGAAGCTACCAACTTTAGAATGGAACTACATGATTTCAGCATTTTGTTTCGTGGAAAATACTACACAAATGCAAGTAATTGTATATAGTTGAGATTTCAGGTTCTCAAAGTGGCAGGTATGAAAATGATTGTCTTCTGGGACGTTATATCATGTAATCAGGTAGAAGTTACCAGTGTTTGAGAAGTACATGCAATGTCAGGTTGATGAGTGTTGATGGAGCCAGCAAGCACTTCTGACATGTTGGTAAACTTCTGCACAACATCTTGGGAGTCATCTCTAATTATATCCTCTTATTCTTAATTTCGAATTAAAAAGCATTCATAGGAAATACGAGTTATGGATTAAAATTTTATACATTATAGCTACAGAAGGGTTTTTTATTTGACACTGAATTATGAGAATAATATGACAAAATGATTCCATTTAATAACTGTAATTAAAATAGGTTAATTGTTTATTTGTTCACAAGGACCGTTACCTCTTCTGTTCGGGTGCATATGATGGCAAGGTGAACCTGTATTCAGCGCTACGCATGGAGCTGCTTATGTGCTATCAGATTACTACTATGACCCTCGCACGCAACGTCAACGCTGTCCGCTTCACATCGGATGGCTCCAGGGTGAGGTTCATGTCCACATTGAATAGAGATTTTGATAGTCTGTACGTATCAATAAACCACATTTTAATCCAAATTAGAGATAAACCTCGATATACGCCGGGGATGCGTTCCAGGACGAACCGGCGTAAATTGAAACTCTTTGTATAATGTAAATCAGTGGGAAGTCAATGCACCCAAACATTGACGACTTGAGTGCCTCAAAGATTGACTTCGCCTTATCCGTGATAGCAATTTGAGTCAAGGGAATGTTTTTTCGATTCATGTCATCCACCCATAGCGACAGTAATTTCTCCATTCTTTCTAAAAGTTTACTTCTGCTATAACTCACTTGCATTGCACTTACTCTCGTAGCCTGTTGCATCGACTGTTTTATTTTATATGAATTTTTCATTATGGTCGTCACAGTGGAAGTAGGAGTCTTGAAATTGACGTCAAGCTAAAGGTCCGTGACTGCCAACCATAATCTTATGTCACTGCTTTATATAATTTAAAGTTGACAGATTCCTACCCTGTGGATTCCTGTACACTTACCAGGTCGAATGTTGCCAGCAGTGTAAAAAGATCATAATTACATAGAAATTAAAAAAAATAGAGAATGGTTTATCTTACAAACATTTCACGAGACCTTGGAAAAAAGTTGATAATTTGTTGTTTGTGATAAATTTACATGTGGAATTTGTTTTCCTTTGTCCTGTCCTTCCTCCATTTAGATTTTGGCTGCTACCACGGCCCGTCGACTGGCCGTGGTGGATGTAGAACGAGGGGAACAGTTGCTGGCATATGACAATTGTGCATTTAGTGGCAGAGATCGAACTGGCTTAGCTGCGGATCCAGTTTGTCCAAACATGGCGGTCTCAGTTGCTGTAAATGGCAAAGGTCTTACCCTCCTTGATCTCAGGATGCCTCTACCGCTTGATTTTGTCTATGACGTAAGTTGATTTAATGTAAACATGCCTTTTCTCTCATAATTTATGTAAAGATAAATTTCTTTTTGTTCTTCATGTATTGGTTATATTACTAGAATACCTTTTATTAATCAGGGACTTGTTATGATTGGCCTTTGCATGAGTAAAGATGTCATGTTTGAATTGTTTTGTGAGACATCTGAAGATAGATATTAAGAAAACAGTCATCACAGCATTTAATTTTATTCTCGAAGTTCACGTCGTCATGTCACAGTTATCCAAAATATAACACATTGTTTGATGGAAATATATATTATATTTGTTTGGTTTGTGCTCATTTTTGTGTGAGACTTATGTTGATCAACCACATATTTATTTAAGTATATATGAAATTATCACTCATAGTCATCCATAACTCCATTATCTTAATCAAAACAACAGCAGCACTGCAATCCCACGTCTTGCTAATGATCGCGTATGCCTTAACACAACGCAATGCGTAATCCTAACTAAGCCTTTTACGCACCACGGCTTCCCATCCGTGCACAGTCTCTGCGTCCCAAAAATCCTTATTAATTAATACAAACCAACTGCCACTGTTGCTACATTTACCAAGGACGTAAGAAAGGGAAGGATACTGAGTCTGTGTCTAATGACAGAAATAATCCCATGTTTTTGTGTACGATTTAATATAACGCGTGTCACTAGCTTTACCTGTCTTCAAACAATTTAATTCTCGGTAGTAACAAGGTCCTTGTAATCCTGGGGTCTCGGGTTGGAATTTATAACTTGTGTTGGGCAAGGCCTTGGTCTAGGCAACACGGAGTTTTCCTCCGTGGCATCCCAACAATTACTCCATTCACACACAGAAGAAGGCAATGGCAAACCACTTCTGGATCATCTGCCAAGAACGTATATGAACAGGTCCCAGTCCGTGAAAAGGATGGAAGGATCCTGTTCATATGGACCTGTCCTCAGACAACACTAAATAATAATAAATATGAAATGTATTGGTACTCCGCAGTAAATTTGTATTCTGTAGACTAATTTGAACAATAATTGAGTTGGAGCGGTAAAATGTTTTAGTAGCAGTTTATAATACTGCATTTAATCTGTTTGTGGTGAGATTTCAGGTTCTCACAGTGGTGAATATGTTGATGACTGCCTTCTGGGTTGTTGTGAAATTCTGGCATTTTTTCCCCCCCCCCCTTTCTCACCCCACCAATGATGGAGCCTGAAAGCACCTCTGAAACATTGGAAACCAGAAGAGAGCCATCTTAATCCATTTTGTTCAATGGAAATATTACTTGAGAATGCATACAGCATGGCTGATAGACAGAGGTTTCTGTGGTGTTATGAGTTTAGATTTTAATCTACTGGGTCATTGCATCAAGTAGCCTTGTGGTTGTGGAGGAATATACCGCCTGCATTTTCAATGTATAAAGCAGCTAATAGATGCTTATATATTATTCTGAAATGACCTTGAAATTTCTCATTGTGGTAAAATATGCTGTTATCTGTAGTCAGAATTTTTAAATGTCCAGTAACATAAATTGTTGACTTTCTCGCAGTTACATAGTAGTGTGATACGTGACCTGGCATTTTTGAACTCCTCGTGGCCCTGGGCGCGTGGGCATACGAGTGCACTTTTAACAGCTGGTGGTGATGGTACATGCAAAGTCTGCACTTTAGATGGAAGAGTCCTCCATGCTTTTCAGACTGGACACCAGGTCAACACGATTTGCCCAACGCCTGAGCCATACAATATTGGTGCTGATGATGGATTTTACAGTGAGTGAAAAGTTTGGATTGATAAAACTTCTATTTACTGTGGAGTTGGTTGATTCATTTCTGCTTCAGAATGGTATTTTTTTTTTCTTAGAACTATATAACTTTGTCATAATCAGTTTGTATTTCTGAGGTTTAATTAATGCTGTCTTAGATTTGAGGTTTTCATGGTTATAAGTCTGAAGACGGCCGTCTTCATATTTGTTGCCTTGAGAATCTGAAATCTCAACATTCTTTACTGTTTTGCCACGCGATAAATGGCATTGTTCTGTTCTGTTCATTATTTAGTCTGTATCCTTTGTCCCGGGTTCAATTCCCGGTGGTGCTCAAATTTATAACTTGTGTTGGGCAAGGCCGTGGTCTAGGCATCACGGAGTTTTCCTCCGGGGGCTTCCCCGGTTTCTCCGTGGCATCCCAACAATTACTCCACTCACACACAGAAGAAGGCAATGGCAAACCACTTCTGATCATCTCTGCCAAGAATGTATATATATATATGAGCAGGTCCCTGACAACCTGAAGAGGTTGGAAGGATCCTGTTCATAATATATGGACCTGTCGTCAGACAGAACACTACAAATAAATAAAATCCTTTGTCTAGGTGTGATAATGAGCGGAGGCGACATGGTGTCGGCTTATGTTCCCAACACAGGTATACAAGAACATCTGAAGGATCATCGTGATATGCAGGTCTGGAAACTCAGGTAGGTGTCGCTGTTGGCAGTGATATTGACAGCATTCGTTTCGAATGATGCAGAGGGAAAAAATATTGCATTGTAAACCCTAAGGACGTAATCAGACGAGGGATATAAAAGTTTGAGCATTTAAAATTAAGCGAGAATATAGGATAATGCAACATGTGACATCGCATCTGGGGGTTTAATAACTAACTAGTTTAAGCATTTCTTAGTAATTGAGCTGGTTAAGAAATATCCTGCTGTTAAGAAACCTGTGAGGATTTGTAAGGAACCAGACAATTTACATCTTTATACCGATCTTGTGTCTCCCAGATGATCTCTTCTGTTGGAGTTTTGATCCAAAATTCTGTACACTTTTCTCATTTTTCTGTGTGTGTTCCATCTTGACAATTTTATCCTTTATTTGATCTAACTAACAATATCTGTTATAAACCTACTTATTATGTAAATCTATATTTCTTCCTCGCTGTAATACTGATTGCCTGTTTTCTTTTGGAACCATACAAAACTGCAAGTAAAATTATATTTTTGGGAATATTTCCAAAATTACAATAATAAAAGGGACAGTATTCAGCACACATTCCTGTAACGTGCCTTGAATCAATTTCCAGGTATACTTCAAATGGTAGCCAGTTATATTCGGTATGTGACGGAGGGGTCGTTAGGCGTTATCGCCGATACCCTGATCATCATGAATATTTAGGAGAGGTTTATCAGCATAAAGGTGATATTCAGGATCTTGACATATCTCCCTATGATGAATGTATCCTTTGTAATTAAACTAGTGTTTCAGATTCTTTGTGCGTAGTAATGTTCAGTGCGGCTGGTGTGTGTGGTTAAAATCAAGCTTCGTGTGAAGAAGGTCTCATTTGAGACCAGCTTGTATATTTAATGCGCATTTTTATTCGCCCCCCCCCCTTTGGGGGGGGGGGAGAAACTTTATAACCAGAAATGCCAGTTTTATAATACGGTTCATATCCCATGACAAGCCGTAGGCAACTATGCATAATGTCATCCTATAATCCGGGTGGTTATGAAAATTTTATCAATCAGAAATATGGATTGCTACCTTTGACCAAATTAGGTAGTCTAAAGGTCAGAACACAGACTTCATTCTTTTATGGAACTCCTAAAAATTAAATCCGTGGCGTAACAGCTCCAGAGAGCCAAATCCGACTAGCTTGACTGCTGACCTCACGTTCACATGCCTAAGCAGAGGTGAAAGATCATCAGGGTGACGTGTGGTCAGCACGACGAACCCCCAGCCATTGCTAGCTTTCCTGACCAGATTATGCTACTCATTGTAGCTCCCCAATTTCCTCACGATGCTGGGTTGGCACCGGTCCCATACACCGGTCGAAAGCTCATGAGAAAATTTCTTCTCCCCCGGGACTCGAACCAGCACGCGTTCCGTATCGCCGGTCCGAAGCATGATGCCTCAGACCGCGCGGCTACGGAGCGGGACTTACGGAGCCCCTATGATATGTTATTTGTCTGCAAGAGGCATTTGAATGAAATCCAAACCATTTTACCATTTTTTTTAAAGATCTCTTTCAGATTTATTCACTGATGGTCATTAGCTGTAACAAACGACAGACATGCACGTGTCTGAATACGAATGATTTAGATTCGTTGTTTTTACATTTGTGTTTTGGTATTGCATATATCAACAGATATCCAGGCTTTGTGATGTATTTGCTTATATTATGGTGTTTAATCATCACATAATTTCCCTTTCTAATTTTAAGGAGTGAAACAGGAATTTTATTTATTTCTTCCATAATTTACTCATCTTTATTTAACTCTTTTCGTCTAGCGCTGCAGGGTTTACAATAACTGCGGCCTTTTTTTTTCATAAAAATGTAGTATGAGAGATGTCTTTGTTGAGGCGGAAGAGGAGATTTTAAATGTAGGATTTGAGGTTTTCGAAGATTGCTGTCTGCTGGGTTGTTGCGTTATGTAGTCTGGTAGATGTTTACTGACGTTTCAGAGGTCCTTGCTGCGGTGAGAACCTGAAATTTCACATTTGTATTTCTACCACATATACTTATAAAAATAGACAATTACTTCTTTGTTCCTCATGTTGCCAACATAAACCTTAACATAATATATAGATATAATCACTGCATCTAAAGATCGTTCAGTTGGTGTTCTGCGTCTTGGTGCTCCAAGTCATGGTTGGACAGAGTACAGTGAGTTAACTTGATACCCTGATTGTTAATACAGTGCTCAGGTATCTGGTGACATATGAACAGTCATGACGTAATACATTCCTAGTGCTGTAAGAGATGGTCCCGGAATGGCAGATAGTGCAAAAGTGGTCTGGTAACAAAACTAATACCTAAAACCCCCCACCCATATTAAATTAGATAAATATTAGAAGATATCAGTGAATGTGTAATATTCAGCAAGATCATATTAAATATCTTAATATTTTAAATATTTTCAATGTAATGTGTTTTGTTATATTATTGTTTAAATCTTTAAATTTGTTTATGGAACAGAATGCCATTTGGCTGTTAGATCTTGCTGGATATAATCAGTGGATTCTTCAGGTCTTGTGAAAGATGGTTTTAAAAAAAATTTGTGTTGGACTAGTAATTGGTATTACTAGGAATTTCTTTGTAAGTTATATTTCAGTGACGGTGAGTATGTCGTGCAATATATTAATCTTTTCAAGAATGAATGTTTAATTGAAATTTTTAGCAACATTATCAAATCTTGTAATAATCTTGAATGGCCTTTTCCTGATGTTTTAGTGAAGTTATATAAAGAATGTGGTCTGTTAGTAAATTTCAAGTGTTAAACGTCATAATCGAGAATGTGGTGATGTTTTAAGTTATGGATTAATTCAAGATGGTGAATTTATTTTATTGTCTGCAGATGGTAATTGTGCCCGGTGGTATCTTATAATATAATATGTACATAATGCTAGCTACAGTAGCGAATATTTGTTTATAATTTAGTTATAGGATTTAATTTTTGAAACACCTGTTGTCGGTACCAGTCAGTGGCTGTTAAAGAGCAAGTACTATTCTTGAGTTTGATGAGAAGCGGGATATCATATCGTTGTATTATTTATAAAATACAAGAAGACGACCAATTTTATTTTGAACAGTCAGATGAGTTCTTGGGTTTGCTTATGCTAGGCTGTATCTGAAATCAGTGTAGAATTCAAGTATCATAAGTTCTCAAAATGTTGCATAAAATTTGACGCTTTTAGATGTTGGTGAATTGATTTTAAGATTGTTTTTGTGCAGTTTATTACAAATTTATGTATAATCGCTAATGCGGACCATGTCGTCATAATTAGCTGCATTATCTATCCTCATGTTCAGTTGGTTTTATGTTTAACCTGACCAAATGTTACAGCGGCAATATTTGTTTATTCATGTGGAAAGTGTTTGGTTTGTACCTCACTGAGGTACAAGTTCTTAATTTTAGAAATACTTAGCTAAGATTTATGTACAAAACGTGATCAAAATATGACAGATTTCAGAGTCCATGTTTTTCACAGCAAGGTCTTTGCGTTGTAATAGAAACTCGTGGACCATGACAGCTGGAGTCTGTATGAAGTAAGTTTATTGGAATCTGTGGCGAACTTGAAGAAACAGGATAGAATTCCATATGCATTTGGAGAATATGCGTATTTGGGATTAAAAGGTTTTGCTGTATGGTAAAAAAAACACGAATAAAATTACCACTGAAAATTTCATCATATCAAATAGACAAACATTTTCTGATGTATGTTTTCTCAGAGAGATTTTGTGTAGTGCTTCTTACCCTGCCACTCCAGTTAATGTGTACACATTTTAACTTAAAGTACTATTTTTGTAAAAAATGTACTATAATTGTCTGCTTTTTGGAAGCGGTAGGCTATTAAGTAAATTAAATGCCATTGCATACATTAGAATTAATTTAAATTTTAAAAAAATAAGTGCCTTTTATTGATACTTTCCAGTAATGAAACTAAAAATGTTCTCTGACTTTTTATTATCCCTGTACAAGTAACCAGTTACAATCAAATTGTAAAATTACCGGTACGAACCCTTCACAAGGGGAACTTGTGGTATAACATGTGAAAAAAATATTTGTTTTGCATATAAAATGTACAGACATTAAATGCGCTTTCGGAGAAACATTTGTGAAACAGTGCAATATAATTGAATTGAAGTTTCTTTACTTTTCTGCAGATGGTACAGTATAAGAGAAACTCTCAGAGTGTAGAGCGGTAAAGTGATATAATGTGAGCTGAAGTAGTCACCAATGCAGAGAAAATTTTGAGTTGGAGTTTTCTCAGCCAAGACCATCTAGGGATTTGTAGGAACAGGACTTTATAACCTGACTATACAGAGTTCATGATGTTCTGTAGTGACCTATGCAGTAGATGTAATTTTCTTGTTTTCTTAATGTGCTGTTAGTAAAATGTAGAATAATTACTTTTTCGTTGTTTTTTCTTGGAGGTGGAAGAAATAATTTTTAATAATATAACCTGTCTGAAGAAATTGAATAATTATCTTATAGGAGTCTTGATAATATCATCACTGTAATTTATGTTGGTTAATTTTTATATGTAGAGGTAGGTGTCGGTGGTGAATACTGGTCTAGAAGTCAGGTCATGCAGAACTTCGGTATTATTAAATCCCTTCTATTATTATGCGGCTTTATGTAAACCATTTATTTTATATTAGTTTGATTTTATTGGACTGGTAGTGCTACTAGCCATACCAGAGCATTTGCCACTGTTAGGAGTGTGATTTTTTAAGAATCCTGGAATTCTTTTATTGAAAAAATACAAAACCTAATAAAAATTACAGAATATTTGGTCCTAAGTTGTAGGTTGTATGGGCTTATTTTGTACCATCTGATTTACTAGACTCAAGGATACACTTGCTCATTATATAAGCTTCAAACTGATACTGTAACATGTCCAGATAGCATAAAATGCGAGGTTACATAGTTATGTATATTTCTTGTCACAGATGATTTAGTATTTACCCCAAGAAATTTATTATCTTGTAAATTTATTTATTATCACAGAATAGTAGTTTCCTAAGTATTAGTGTTATCTGTTTAATTCACATGTTAATTAATGTCTTGTCCTTATGATGTCAAGATTATATAAATGTGACATTTAACTGTTGATGTATTATGAAAGGGGCAGTAGTTAATTAAATATGAAACTCTTAAGTTCAGTATTTGGCAATAAATTTTTTTATATATAAATAAATCAAATGTTAATGGTACAACAATGTCTTTACTATAAAACATTCATATATCGCGTAGTTTGTATCTTTTCGATATATGTGAAAGAATACAATGTAAGCTACAGGCTTTATAGACAGAACATGAAATTAAGGAATAGCTGTGTAATAATCCAGATTCCACCCTTTTTTTGCTGGTCTAAATATCCAATTTGCCACATACATAAATAAAGGTGACATTCCGTCTGTTGTTTCGCCTTGCTACTGCAGCATCAGTCGACGCTGGTTTCTGTTGGACGCTCTGTAGTATTCATACTAAGTGTCAGAAGTGTATAGATATTTGTTTAAAACAAAGTTTAAAAACTTTCTTCTTGTGACATAGTACAGTGGATTTTACTTAATTTTAATTGTTATTATTTTTACCATTTGTATGGCCTACAATGTAATTGAATGAAGAAAAATGAATACTTGTAGAACATTTTATGAGGAGCATTTTGCTTGCTTATTAAGGTATTAGGATGGAGCTGGAAGTCACAAAGTGTTAGCTCTTCGGACTGATCTTCGATCTCCTCATCATGATTTTAAATTCGCACATAACTAAAAATGTGTTTAGACTTAAGTATGAAATTCTTCAAAAACCAGACCAGAATAAATTTGTTCTTCCATAAATTTTGATAAAAGTTGGTCATGCTCATCAGCCCAGCATTTCTGAAATTAATTTGTTTAGAATTTAATTATGGTTTCTGGGTTGTGATACCATGTGGTCTTGTAGGTTGTTAGCAATGTTTTGGTGGATTATATTACCTCCATATTCAGAATACACTTATATCCTGAAAATCGAGCTGATAAGTACCTTGAAATGTTGGTACCATCTGCAAGACTACACAGTGTCACAACCAAGAAACTTCTGGCTGGGAACGACCCGTTCTTCAAGTGCATGAGCACTGCGGGTCCCAACTATTCATTGGCTTGATCTATAGACATTCGGTAGAGACTCCTCGGACGAGGGATCGGCCCGTCGCGAGGCCTCTACCTGTACACCTGACAGCACAACACAGCCAACCAAGAAAAACTCAATTAACTTCTTTGCCCCTGTGAAAACCTGAAATTTGAGGCAGTTTATAATTGATTGGCATAAGAACTTTGAGATATTAACCCACAGTTTTTCTCAACTTCTTGTTGAAGTGAAGATATTTGTAACAAAACATGTCTACTTATGACTGAAGTATTATTGTAATTTGGTAATTGGAACTGAAATAGAATGAATTCTCGGGCTACTAGCCGTGTAAGGTTGTTTAATGAAGAAAAGGGTGTTTTTATTAAACCACCTTACATGGCTGGTAGCCTGAGAAGAATTAATTATACTTAGTCACCGTGAAAACTTCGGAAGTGAAATAGATTAAATACTGGGCTTTTTTGTAGTTGTGGTGTCACAGGACGAGATAACTGGAATAACCGGATTTATCTTGATATATGCTTATGTCATGATTATCATTGTGCAGTTATTGATTTCTGTATGTGTTATTTCTAGAATTATAGTGAAATGTCAGCTGTGTGATTGTTATGGGACCAAAACTAACATGGAAAAACGTAACATAATGGTAGAATTTATACTATGTAAACACTAAATGTGATAAATATTAATTTATCCTTGTGAAACATACAACAGAGATTTTTTATTCATGAATCCATTTCATTTGTTTGTATTCTTGAAATCTGTGCAGTCTTTGAACTGAAACGGAGACTCTTCATACACATTTATTTCTGTTTCAAATTTGTAACAATTGAACTGCACCATTTTAACCTTAAACATCATTGAGTCAAAGATCATGGAGTGGAAAGTTTTTGTGGTGAAGAAAATACTACAAAAATGGAAATTCTATGGTTACAGTACTTTTTAAAATGTTTGTTTATATGAAGGAAGGACAAAAAATGTTTGGCATTTAGTTACGTAGTTTGAAGAGAGAGCCTGCCTGATCACTGGACTGGTCGTGCTGGACACCCATCCATCTATACGCGCACATGATGTTGAAGCCAGACGAGCATTATTGAGGAAACCTAAGATAGCTTGTGACATCATTCACAATTACTGAATATGAAGTGTAGCACAGTGAGATAAATTAACTACTCTTACTTATCAGCATATCCTTAATATGGTTCAGTTATCTTTGCAAGCTGTACTATCGAATTTTATCATTCACATTTGATGAATAATCAGGGAGGAGGTCATAATGAACATATATGATTTGAAGCTTTCACGGCGACATAACTCGATAAAATCTTGGGCGATCAGTTTTGTCTTAGAACCATTTGACGCGGCTGATCGCCAGAGAAGCATAATGAACATGTTTCACATTGAGGACTGTTTTTTTATGTGTAGATTGTAAATGAAAGAAGTTGTATGGTTTGCACAGATAGTTTAAATGTTATGACTAAATGCAGTAGTTTGATGAATAAAAAGTCGCCCTTTACGTACACACGCAAGGTTCCTCTGTGTTCAAAAGGAATTGAATTTGGTGCCAATATAAAAATTTAAAGTGGCATTCCTTAATTTCAAGCATTGGCCAGATTTGCTGGATTTAGTGAATGTTTGATGGCTGTTGACAGTACTAATTGCTACTTTATAAAAAGTGACTGAATGATAATAGTAACATATATTCCTCCAAAACCTGGTGTCCTACATCTTCTGCCCATCACATCTTTGATTTAGTCTTCTTAATATTTAGTGATTATGAAACTCTTTGTGCTGTTATGTGATAAGTATTGTTACAGTAATCAAACATTTTTTTCTCTGACAGAGGCTGTTCATGTAATATTGTTACGTCTTTGTAGTAGTAATTGGATTGTAATCCCCTTTTTTTCAATTATTATTTTGTTGCTGTGTTTTGAGTATATATTTTATTTTAAATAAGTAATGTCATTGATTATTCCGAAGGGGGAAGGGTTATTATCAGAATTGTTATATCGTAAGCATTATTGATAAAGGTTAAACAAGTGTATTGGAATTGAGTGTGCAATTATTGAAAATATTGTGTGTCAGAAAATTATTGCATTAATTACCATGTATGGTCTACTAGTGTTATACTGATAAAAAATATTTTGTGCCTGATGGGGAACACACTGTTTATTCGAAAAATGGTTTATGTATTCGGTGATGAATCATAAGGATGCTTTCATAGCAAGTCTGAGGTTGTCACCCCTTACAATTTTCTGGATGTTTCTCTCCGTGAAAATTTGGAATTTCCCGGTTCTGACCAATTTCGACTGAAGACCAGAGTCTGCAGTTTAAAACTGCAGAGGTGGCAACTCCATCATGTATAAAATATTGGACAACAACAAAAATAATGTTACCTCATTATGTAGAAGAAGAATGGTCCCATATAGACTAAGTAAGGTTTATTAAATATTGATTTTGTGTGGCATTGTTACACCACAGTGCTTTACATAAGAACATATGGCAACAGTTTATTCAATTTGTATTCTGCAACTGTTAGTAAAAAATAATTTTCAATTATTTGTTTGATTTTGTAATTTTGTTTTTAATACACTATTTATAGGAACATTATGTTGGACATTGTCCATTGTCCAAGGTATATTTGATATATGTGATATTTCGGGAGTTGACTCTGCTACCGTCTGTAGATAATGTTCCTATAACAAACCAACCATTGTCAGAAACATATGGAGAATCAACACTGTTTGTTTTACCAATTTAAATGCCGTCATGTACAGTCTTACAACTTAACAAACATTCCTTACATGAACAAAGCTGTTACCTATTTTAATCACTCATACAGATAGCATTTCATACACATGAACCATTTATTGTGGCAGAGTTCAAGGAAATTTTCTGTAACTTAAAAAACAGCTGTCCAGATTTCATCTCAAACTCTACAGCCTTTGAAAATGCCAAGTTCTTTCAGCTCCAAAAAAAGTCTCCTCAAACCTTATTCTTCCATAATTAAACATGTTTTTTCTCAACAAACTTTATTTCCAATAAGGATAGGAGTGTTAACATTCAAGTATATAATTAAAATATACTATTTGTTATTCAGTTTGATTGTTTTTCTGCTTTGTTTCATTTATGGTGCAACATTGATGTTTTTTTCTACTGCATTCAATCCATATGTATATTATAACTTTAGTATGGGTTAATAGATTATTTTGTTCTGAATTTTAAACAGAAGATATAATGAAAAAACTCTTGGAATGCAGCTCTTTTATGACTAGAAAATTGTGTGTACAGTTGCTATTAAATGGGTGAATCATTTTGCTTTAGTATACTAAAATTATGTTTTATATACTTTGCCCCCTACCAAGTCAAGAGAGTTTAGTTGCTGCAGAAACGTAAGATAACCTTGATTGTGTTTTGTCTTGATATATGACTTGAAAAATTTTGTGTTATTTATTGTTGGTCAGTGTGAGGTTGTCTGATGCAGAATGGGAGGTTGCTTTATATTGTATGTTGCTGTAGTTGATTATTTAATTCAGGCATGGAAAGCAAATATTGAGAAAAATGAGCCTTTGAAAGCAGAATATTGTCAGTTTGCCTAGATGTGCAGCTTTCCTTTTCTCTTCAATGGTACAATTAAACAAGTTTCATATGTGATCAGTTTTTGTCAGGGTATTGTGTTATCATATTTGGAAAGGTATTTTTTAATTCTGTAGGTTGTTCTTATGTCTGGCCTGCTTTTGTGTAGACAGTTTCTGTTTTAACCACTGTAATAGCTGACATCTCTGTTGATATTTCTTGTAACTGTTGAAATGTAGATTAGCCCATTGTTGGTTTGTGCTTAACAAACAATTTATAGGCAAATAATGTCACTATAATTACATTTTATTCTTAGTTAACTTTTAAGGTTAACTGAACAATATTTGTTTTAAGGGCTCAGGTATCTGTTTGTGTTTCTGTTAACTTATATGTGTACAGTACTTTATTTGGTTTGGTTGGAAAATATGTGGTTCATTTCCTGTTCAAGTGATAATGTTCTACATAGGAAAGAAATCAGTGGTGTAAGGTCTTCATGTTATTCTACTAGGGAAGTGAGGTTATGAACATTTGTAAGTAGGTTTTGAAATGAAATTTATTAATGTCATGGCTCTTATTCCACAATAAACAAGTGCAGAATACTTCCAACAGACTACACAGCACAGCATCCTAGAAGACAGTCATCTTCAAAGTCCATAATATTTCCACCATTAGTGTTCATCCAGGTTAATTAAGAAATTTGCTTTTTATATAAGTATAAGTTTGTATAACTTTTATATACAGGGTGGGTGGGAAGTAAGTAGGCATTAAATAATCTTTGCATTGGAAATATAGAGGTTATAACCATTTCTCAATGCCTACTTACTTCCCACCCACCCTAGAATGTTTGACTTTGCACTCTACGATTTTAATGTAATTTGTAACATGTTCTAGGATAATTATGTACAGTTACATAATTAGTTTCATTTATTTAATAACACAACATAAATGTTAATATGATTTTATTTTATTTTTCTTCAGAAAGTAGTAGTATTTTTTTTTTTCTTCAAAATTTTTCATTTGTAGGACATGCTTATTAATGTGAGAGGCGCTTGGTATTCGGTTAACAGCGTGCTAACATGAGAATATGTTACTGTGGATTTTTATGTTGGTATGGACATATTGACATATATCCTTGCCTTAATTTTTAAATAAAATTACCCTATGAACGTACAGTAATGCTCAGTTTGAATTGCAGTATAACCTTGATTATCCAGGTGTGAGGGAATGTGATTTTAGTTTTTGTTATCTTCGCTGAGAACGTCCTGGTTATAAATTTATGATATCGGTGCTCATTATTTCCCAGGATTTACCACTTTAAAATGTCCTGTTTGCATCGGGGGAACTCCAAATTAGGGAAATTACTGCAGTCCTCGTACATTTATCAATGGATAATCAGGTTTATTTGCATTTCAGTTTAATCTTTGCATATGTTTGCTTGTTGTGTCGTAGACAGAATTTGTCTTTCTGTTGTAATCAAAAAAAAAATAGTTTAGACGTATTTTTATATCGCAACGTTGACGTGAAGTGTTCAAGAATTGCACTGTCAATAGTATGCTTGTTCATAAGGTAACAGTACAGGTGTGGTTGGATTTGAGAACCCTCACTGATGATTTAATTGGTAAAATGACTGCAAATCTCTTTTATGGCTCTGGTTTTCTGCTGCTTTGGTCTTTAAAATAATATTCATGAAATTATAATACTAAGTCAGTTCTGTTATAAAACATGTTTCCGTTACGCAATTTTTATGCAGTGGAGTGCATTGGGAACGGTAGTTATAACATCTGTTTTGGACATAACATGATCTGGTACGTGCTGATAGGGCACAAAATACTGCAGAAATATGGTGTGGGGAGAAGCAGTTACATGTGTATTCATATTTAGTCAGATGTTTTTATGACAATATTTTTTTGAAAAATGCAGCTATTGTGTTACAATAAAAATTATTGTAATGGTTCTGGATTAAACTCTGAAGCATGCATGAACATCAGTTTTATTTAGAGTAATCCTTGTTATTGTCAAACAATCTTAAAGCTAAAACAGGTAGAATTTTGTGTGAGTTGGTAATTTTAAAATGAATTGAAAGACTCCCGTAAAAAAAAATGACGTACCTAAGGATGCATTTCGAAAATATGTATTGGAATAAATATGTCTACTCTGGTATTTACAGTGTATGTTGTGTGAAAATGTAATTACATTGGCGTTCTGTTATAATTATAAAACGAGATATATCGTTACTAGCAGTGATGCATATTGTCAGGTCGATTAAGTCGAGCAGAATGAGATGGGCGGGGCATGTAGCGCGCATGAATGGGACAAGAGGTGTGCACCAGGTATTGGTCGGGAAGCCTGAGGGGAAGAGACAGCTGGAGAGAAATAGACGTAGATGGGAGGATAATGTCAGGCGGAATCTATGGGAGATAGGAGTTGAAGGAGACCGGATTTTGTTGGCCCAGGACGGTCTGGTGGAGGGCTTTGGTTAATTCGGTGATGAACCTTCGGGTTCGGTAAGCCATCTAGTTAGTTAGCTAATTAGCAGTGATGCATATGTGTATTTGTGTAGAATGTCAATTTGAATGGTTGTAATCCAAATATAGAATGTCGGTTAAATTAATATTAAGTGGCTTTATACGACTGCTACACAGAATAAATTTATCATAAGATGAGATAGGTATTTTTAAAGTAAGAGGACGTAAAAATTTAATTGCAATCACATTTAAACATTGTGATACTAAACCTGTTACATCACTGAAATGGATCATGAACTGAAATATTACCCCATGAAATTTTAGTAAAAATATCACAGTCTCAGTCGAAGAAAACTTGCAAGTGTCATAATCCACAAGAGTCTGTTCATGTTTATTGTTTTCACTTGTGGTAGACTTTTTTTTAAATTCACACAAGAATAAAATGTTTTTCATAATATTTTCCAAATGCATTCTTCTTTGTTGTGAATTTGTTATTTGACTTAGTGTTAACTTATTTATCAATATAAATTTCTTCAAAGCTTATTATCCCGCTTCTAGCAAGTCCTTCCACAATTGACTCATAATGATGACGACGACTCGCCGGAACTTGGAATTATTTACAGTATTTGTAAAAAACTCAAAAATTTTATAATTCGCAGTGTTGACTTTTGAGTAGATGTCACTGTTCCAGTGAAACATACTGTCTTTGTCTTCAACTCCAAAATGTTGGCATCTACCGACAGTCAACAGCCTAAATGCAGAACGTCATCATCTCTAAACCGGCTTGGCTTTGTGCAGAAGTGTTCAAAACGCAGCCGCTGTGTTTTGTTTTGCCCACTTTACATTATTATGAAAGTCTCATTATTTTGGTGTAAATTGTAAGGTTTCCATATACTTTTTTTCCCATATGTTTCAATGTTTTGAGTGGGTTTTTTTCCCTGTAAATAGTTCTCGGCATTTTGTATTAATTTAATAACGTGACTTGATGTGTAACTGTTGGGTGTAATAGAGATATGCTGATCCAGAGGCCTGTGTTTTGATATTGTATCTCTGTATGCTATAATCAATATACTGATAATAGTATCAGTTCATGATAATTCTTCCATCCATTCGGGTGTTGAACAAAGATTTTGTTACTGTTAAATATAAGGAATATAAACATACCATTGCCATGTTTTTTCAGGTTTCTTAAACTTCCATAATGTGCCTATAATTGCCCCTTATCAGCTTTTTTATTAAGAGCAGAGAAAACTGAAGAATTATTCACTTTAAAACAAATAGTTTATTTATATCATAGAAATTGTGTATGATGTCTGTAATTGTTTTCTTCCCACAAATATTGATTACTGATTAGTGTGTTAATATAAAGAATAATTTTTAGGACATACTTGATATGCTGAAATTATTTGTGAATTATTTTCAAGGTGTTTTACTTTATCACAGTTAGAAGAAAAATGATTTATCCCACGTCCCCCTTTGAACTGTTCATCCAAGTTTTAACTCGTGTAATTTTGTTCAGCTACCTGTAATTATATGGAAGTATATGAAGTGACACATTTATGGTTCTTTAGTTTAGGTCAACAGTAAATTATTTTATTAATGAAGTTCCAATGTTTTTAACGATTCCTCATGTATTAATGCCAGAAAAGAACATTGAATAAATAATGTGGTGTTATATACTACATTTAACTTAAAATGAAATACCTTTTTATTGCCTCGTATGTGGTGTTATATACTACATTTAACTTCAAATAAAATACATTTTTATTGCCTCACCTTGCCCTGGAAGTTATTGTGATAGAGGGAGTGAAGTAGATGAACATTTTTGAGCAGCGTCTTAATTTATGTTCAGCCCCAGATTTTGTTAGAACAGTCAAATCAAGGAGGATGAGATGTTTGAAGATTTGTATCATGCTGCCTTTTAGAATATGCCACATCAGGGTCACATTGATGATGGAGACAGTAAGCTCCATTAAAATGTTATCCAGTTTCTACCAGACTACATTTTGCAATATTCAAGGAGATAGCCATGTTCACACTTGCTACTGTGGGGCAAGTTTCACATCCACAAAAAATAAAGGGTAAGATTATAATTATGTATATTTTAATGGGAATTTTTTTAGATAGCTCAGGAAGACTAAGCATTCCCCATATTTAATATGTATAGTATTTATGAAGTTCGTCGAAATTGTCCACAATTCGTATGCAAAAACATTAAATTATTTATCTTTATCATTATATTTACTTCCGTTTGTCTATAACGGAAGTCATTGTTATTCTGTGACAAATAGACTCTGCGTCTGAATTAATGAGGGCAGCATCTGTTGTTTAATGCGCTGACGCATTGCATTTGTTTTCTGCAGTTCCACGTAGCGCCGCTTATGCGCGTACATGTTCTGTTAATTGTGCCGGCAAACGTGGTTAGAGCTGTTCTTAGGTTTTGTGGTTGATGTCTGTATTTTGGTAAGTGTTTGTTCTGTACAAGCTAAGTAATTACTATTAAGGTTGTATTCTGTAATACTATTTATCGTTAAACATAGAAGGTTGTTTCATTGTGTTTTGAATTAATGTTGAGCCCTGTCCGTGATGTGTTTCGTGGGGTATTTGTGTGAACGTGTATTTAGAAAGATTCTCGTCCCTGTAATGTGTGGTGTTTAATTATATTTATGCATTTCATTCATGTGCGATATTTATTGCGTGTGGTGAACATACTTTTTTTCGGGATATTTATGATAGGCGTGGATATGGATGTACCATTTGGCACTGAAGGTTTGTTTATTCATCTGCAATTTTATTTACATTAATTTTAACATTCGTTTTTGTGTCGACGGTTAGTGATCATATAAAGGTGTTGATAAAATTGGAATAGATACATTTAAAGTATAGAATTTGATATAATTGAGGAGGTCCATGAAAATCTCCTGTTAAAACTTCGGGTCCTTGAACCTTAAATTGTGCTACGACAGATTCCTTCCTTAATTACCCTGGTCTCTCATGCGTTAAGGGAATAACAATGCAGATGTTTAAGAACAGGGCACTAAGAATATTTAGACCTAAAATGAAACAAGTGACAGGAGGCTGGAAAAAGTCGCTGTGAATAGTAACCAGTGGCTGGCTCTTGTGAACATGGTAATGAACCTTTGGGTTCCATAAAAGGACAGGGATATTCTTGGGTATCTTAGCATACTGTCAGCTTCCCCAGATGGACCCTGTCCCATGCGTTTCGTTTATTTGCTTCTTGTCTTCCTTATATTAAGATAAGCAAGCAACAGGTGAAGTCTGATAGCCGATTAGGCTTCGAGGCAGGTGAGTCATACGTAGTTGTTTACGAAGTAGTACATGTTTCTGCCACTTGTGGCAGCAGGATACAAATTTACTATGGTGGTTTTGATAGCCTGACGTCTACTTGCAGTAAATTGAAACAGGTGTTTTAACAGACAATTGGCAGATGTTTACTTACGAACTACACTATGAATAATAATAATATGAACCCCGTATTACTAACCGTTTCAGACGTATTCAACATGTGGGATAATGAATATTTGAACTGGAAGAAAATGTCATTCTGCAGAAACATGCGCTCTTACTTAATTAGTAACTAAGTGACTCATCGTTGGGTATTGTGTTGTTATTTTGAGAAAATTACTATGTTTTTTTTTTTGCGGAATGAGGTCGTTTTATGCAAATATGTGTTAAAACAAGGACTAAGTTATCGTGTATCGACCTTCATATAGACATACTTCGCCAACACTGCAAGATAGGAATCTCCCAAATTTCTTGTTCCTAAGTGGATGTACCGTGGCCAATCGACCCGGGGTATTTGATACTGTAAACATGCGCACAAAACTGATTTAATTGTTGATATGACAATGAACATGTAAAGCTACTATTAACCCATTGATGCCAAAGATCGTCTAACACAACACTTCACCATTACGTAGATCGATTGTTTAACGCTGTAAATAATCTCTGTTTACGCTGACGTGAGAACCATACGAAATCAATAAAAATAAAATGCAAACGTTACTGCTTCTTAAAGTAAATGTTACGTGTAGTTTACCAGTTGAAATAAGTCATGGCTGAAACTTAGCTATGTTGCCGAAGAGTGTAATTTCTAACGTTGGTGTTATACTCGTAATGAACTTCACAGCAGGTGGTTATCGTTAGTGTTTTGTTTGGGGAGTTTCCGGGTTCAAATCTCGACCCGGTGACCGCGCTATCTTGACTGAGGTTTTACGTGTTGTTCCTCAGTCCCTCCTAGTAAATTCCGGACCAGTACCTAAAATTAAGACACTACCGTATCCTTCCATATCTTTTCCTATTTTAGTATTTGAAAGTTTCCTGTTGGTTGATGTATTTTCTAGCAATTTATGTTCAAGGAATACTTTATTTTATTGGTTTCTGCGGGTGTCATTTGATTTTTATCACAGTTTTGGACATCCTTATCACAGATTACACATAATGAGACATATACTCAAGTAGCCATAATTCTTTCTTTGTTGTTTTTACTTGTCGAGGTAAAACACTAATTTGGGGGAGTGGGACTTGAGACCCATAACAATGAAGACCAAATGAAATATCGTAAGACTAAATTATGGTATTGTTCACACAGCAAAAAATTAGGTTGTTTTTCACAATTTGACTTTGTCTGTATTCTTAACAGTCTTTTATTAAGTAGAAATAACTTATTAAACTTAGCGAGTAAATTATAATATTTCGAATGGCAGAGTTTCTGAATTATATTTGAGAAATCCCCGGTTTGAATCTTAACCGGGATACCGTCTACTCTGACCGAGGTTTTGTGGTATTCCTCCGCACGAATTTCATAATCACTTGAAACAGGCCACGACCACTTCCTTATAAATCATTTCAAGCTCACCGAACGTAATCACGTGATCATGCTCTCAGATAATTCGTCACCAAATAATCGCTGCAATTGATACAGCGTCATTAAGCAGTCTACGATTAGTTCATCCAACAATAATTCCATGTTTTTTTCGTAAGCTGATAGTCGTTCATCTGATAAAGTAATTAATTGTCCCGAAGGTTCATTATCATATTCAGAATACCTCCACTGGACCATATTCTGAGCCAGATGAATCCAATAAACTTCCTCATCTGCTCCGTTTTAATATTATCCTCTCACCTAAGCCTAGATCTCCCAAATGGCCTTTTTAATTTAGTTTTAATAAAGTATTACACGCATTTCTTGTATAGTTAATGCGTGATGTAGGTTACGTTACGTAATTACATTGTCCTAAATTATTTGTGAATATTTATACGTGTATTAATGAAGAAACAGAATTTATCGTTCAGAGATATTTCCTTCTTAATTACTAACCGTTTTTAATTCTAATTTATGTAATGTCTGCAGTTGATAAAGTGGTACGTATTCTAAGGACCTTGAAACATGAATTTTCAATGGAAAATTATGGACTTAATTACTTTACTCCGATACCATCAAAGTTCTGGGTCCGATAGGCGACTTACGTGTATGAAGCAGTTGTGGAATGATGATTAATAGTGGGAAAACAGATGATCAGGAAAAAATAATTGCTCCAGTGTTGAAGTCGGGCCCCGCGCTGTAAGAAACCGGCGCAGTGGAAAATTATTATTAAAGTAAAATTATTATTATTATTATTATTATTATTTAGTGTTCTGTCTGACGACAGGTCCATATGAACAGGATCCTTCCATCCTTTTCTCGGACTGGGACCTGTTCATATACGTTCTTGGCAGATGATCCAGAAGTGGTTTGCCATTGCCTTTTTCTGTGTGTGAATGGAGTAATTGTTGGGATGCCTCGGAGGAAAACTCCGTGTTGCCTAGACCACGGCCTTGCCCAACACAAGTTATAAATTCGGGCACCGCCGGAAATCGAACCCGAGACCCCAGAATTACAAGGCCAGCGTTCTAACCGCTAGACCACCGTGGCTATAAAAAGTAAAATTATCAATGAAAAATTACTACCGTTGGACACGTACTAAAAGTTAGAACTAAATGTTATCTGTTTTGTACAAAAATTTTATTGGTTTATGTACGGTTCAGGCCTGTGTTTATTTAACGATGCTTTCCCTAAATTACGTCTCGTTATCAATGACAGGTGATGTCTCAGGATGATTAATTTGAGAGGGTTTTTTAATAAGCGGTCTCTCTCTCTGTTCAGGGTAGTCAATCAGTGTTCTCTAGCTAGATATAGGAAAACACGAAATTATTGAGGATACTTCAAACCCGGGACCTTTAAAATGCGTAACATGACGGACCCCTCTGGCACACTTGCGTACCCCCGGTTGAGAAATACTGTTTTGAGGACGCACATAACATTTTCGATGTGTTTAGATGTAATTAAAAATATTTTCGTGTTTTATTTTATGTAAATTTTTCAATTACTCGCGTTTTAAAGTAAAAGCTATAAAAAAATTAGCCTTGGAAACTTGGTGGGGAATCCCTTTCCGGAGGATTCCCGCCATTAACAAAGTAGAATACATTGTATAACTTGTTTCTCGCACTTATAATTGTCATGTAATTTGCTTAAATATTGGAATTCAATGTGCTTAGCAAAGTCTGGTTGCTTATTTGTAAAAGAAAAGTTTAATTAAGTGGGCGTTATTGTTTCTTAACACAGCTGGGAGAATAAATTTATTTTTTAAATAATTTGTCTGCCACTAGTCAGACTTTCGGACATAATTCTTGTTGTAGGAAGTGAATGCTAATGAGATATTTAACACTCCTTTTTATCTTTCTGTCGCTCTATATGACAAAGATAATTTTGTAGAAAGTTGAAATGGACATTCAACTTTCTCTTTTGTAATGAAAGTTTATCGACTGGACTTATTATTTCTACAGCACAACGCATAGAATAAAATTCATGTCAGGCAGCGTTATTGAGACATTTTAAATATTTATTTTTAATTATTTTAATTGCAGCATAAACTGAACACACAATGAGAACGTCATATATGTCTGTCAGTCCATTGTTTTACATATTTTAATTCTCAAAGTATTTCACAGGTCTCTATTTAGAATTTTGTATGACGATAATAAAATTTTATCAGGTCAATATAATTCCTATTCAACACGAAACTTGGATCGAACGTTATCAAATTGATCAAAAACAGCCAATTGCAACGCCAATTAATATATGACGTAAAATGTCTTATTATGATACATTATTTTGACACAATTGTCTTTTTTTTTTTTAAAGTGTTCTGTCTGACGACAGGTCCATATGAACAGGATCCTGCCATCCTTTTCTCGGACTGGGACCTGTTCATATACGTTCTTGGCAGATGATCCAGAAGTGGTTTGCCATTGCCTTCTTCTGTGTGTGAATGGAGTAATTGTTGGGATGCCACGGAGGAAAACCCCGTGTTGCCTAGACCACGGCCTTGCCCAATCTTTATTACGCCGTCTCCTTTACAGGAGGTTGGCGACATTATGAACAGGATCCTTCCCTCCTTTTCTCGGCCTGGGACCTGTTCATATACGTTCTTGGCAGATGATCCAGGAGTGGTTTGCCATTGCCTTCTTCTGTGTGTGTGAATGGAGTAATTGTTGGGATGCCATGGAGGAAAACTCCGTGTTGCCTAGACCACGGCCTTGCCCAACACAAGTTATAAATTCGGGCACCGCCGGGAATCGAACCCGAGACCCCAGGATTACAAGGCCAGTCTTCTAACCGCTATCTGAATCTACAGACATGAAGATGGAAGTTTTATGTTCTTCCGAAACGTTTTTTTATATACTTTACAAGTACACACTACACCGAGTTGCTACTCATAAGAAAAACATCCTCATATTCTTGTCTTTCCGTGTTGGAGTTCAATGATTATCTTCTGATTTCGGTGAAGACCCGAATGTCTCCGAATGAAGCCGAAGTTGTACGGAAGTTTATTTCGTAGTTTCGCAGAAGTCGGCGTGGAAGCGACGGTGATATGAGATAAAACAGCAGTACAAAAGAGGGGAAGGATGTGAAATGTTTTCGCTACTATCGCTGCATTATGCATTGGCACATTTCCAGTTCGTGTAAGCAAACTAGAGTGATAAGGTTAGAAAGGAGCGAGTCGCTTCGACCCAAGTCTGGCGAGAACATCGCGTATCGAGCAATTCGTCGTCAAAGCGAAAAGAAAGTGTTCTTTTACAAACATTTACTTATTACGTGTTGTTGGTCTTCTGTGATAATGATATTTTACAGTTAAATACTGGCTTTGCTTTTTGTGTGTCAGAGAAGTGTATTTCGATTACGTTTACAAAAACTGAACAAAAATTTTCTCCCCTAACGTGAGTTATTTTGCAAGGTTTATTTTGATCTGGAATCAACCATCATTGTAAGTAGATTTTCTGTTGGAAATTGTTTATAATTTTAAATTTGATAATGATATGAAAACCGCCACGGTGGTCTAGCGGTTAGAACGCTGGCCTTGTAATCCTGGGGGTCTCGGGTTCGATTCCCGGCGGTGCCCGAATTTATAACTTGTGTTGGGCAAGGCCGTGGTCTAGGCAACACGGAGTTTTCCTCCGGGGGCTTCCCCGGTTTCTCCGTGGCATCCCAACAATTACTCCATTCACACACAGAAGAAGGCAATGGCAAACCACCGGCTTTGTAATCCTGGGGTCTCGGGTTCGAATTTATAACTTGTGTTGGGCAAGGCCTTGGTCTAGGCAACACGGAGTTTTCCTCCGTGGCATCCCAACAATTACTCCATTCACACACAGAAGAAGGCAATGGCAAACCACTTCTGGATCATCTGCCAAGAACGTGTATGAACAGGTCCCAGTCCGAGAAGAGAAAAGGATGGAAGGATCCTGTTCATATGGACCTGTCGTCAGACAGAACACTTAATAATAATAAGATGATATGAACTAAAATTTAATACCGTTTCTAATTTTTTTAAAGGTATTTACAGAGAGTGTTGTGTTCTGATTTCAGAACGGACCCCTCGGCTTTTAGTGTGTTAAATGAAAGATATGTTCTTCAAATAATGTTTATGTATGATTTGAGGTTTTCACAGCGATGAGTCTGAAGATGGCTGTCTTCTGGGTTGTTGTGCTGTGTAGTCTGGTAAAAGTTTACCGACGATGGAGGCAACAAGGACCCCTGAAACGTCGGTAAACTTATGCCACACTCCACGGCACAACAACCCAGAAGACAGCCATCTTATTTCGTATTGTATTCGCCTTCAGTTGTCACATGAGCTGTGTCTTTCTGTCCTCTTATTAATTTTTATTTTTTCATTAGTATCAGTTGCTGTGGAAACGTCAGTTAATGAATATATTTTTTTATCTCCAACTGTGATGTCTGGTTTATTGCACGATATGGTTATGTCTGTTGTAATTTGTTGATTCCATGACCGAGCGACTTTTTACCAATGTTCGTACTATTATTATTTTGAATTTTAATTTCTGTTTGTTTATAGACATTAAAATATACTTGTGTACACACACTGTCGTGATAGGTTTTTTTTTACTCTAGCTAGCTGTTATATCGTCTCCAAAAACATTCTAGCATATTTAACATTTATTGTCATATGAATCTCATGTAATTATTATTAATATTTTAATCGTATCTTTATGAAAATCTTATTAAAACAGATTCTGTACACGTTAAATTTGTCGGGTAAAATCTGAGTATTACGCCATGTTGTTTTTATATTTGTTTAAAGAAATACTTTAACACATTTTGAATATTATTTTGAACATCTGCCGCAATGAAGGATCCAGTATTAAGTGGCGCTAGTATCGCTTCCATGATCATTTATGTTGAGGAAGGTATGGTTAGTATATGACGACTAATCAACAGGTGGTAGGAATAAAGCCAGTTCCCGAAACGTCGTGGATGTTAAATGCCTTTATCTTAAATTTGACATCTGTTTTGTGTTGCTAGTCCAAGAGCTGAAGAATATTTCGACTTAGTAATTTTAAAATAACACGATGTTGACGTGTCTGCCATCCACATATTTTTACGTTCTTACAGTATATTCTCAATACACGTGTATACCATACACGTGGCCGTGTTAGTCCACGTGTTTTACAACACGTGACTTATCGAACGACGCTAATGTATCAGTTAACCTGTCGAAAGGTTTACCACCGTCAAGTTTAATCCTTTCATGTTTTCTGTCTTTGCTGGCTTTCGAGTCCAAGATAAAGTTAAAGCTTTCTCTGATGCTTAATTAAGAACCGTATTCATAACCTCGACCCTACATGGAGGTGACTGTCTAGCCTTATGATCCGGTCGCTGTACCCCGGAGGAAAATACCACGATATATTTTGGACAGGACGCTCAATGGACCTCAGAGCACGTCTGGACGTTGTAGTGAAGAGAAAATTTCTGCTTTGCCGTGAATCGAACCTCAGTCATTAGGCCTACAGCCTAGTCTCTATTTTGATTGAAGTATTATTTAAATTTTATTTAACAACGCTGTAATTATCTTTGGATGTTTACTATAGCGTCGGGTTAAGATGTAATTTTATATTCGGTTTGATTATAAACTCTCGGAACCAAAAAAGTTTTGTGTAAAGGCACTTTTTAGTTCTCGCCTATCTCCATTTTAAACTGTTTTAACTGTACTTTAAAATAAATAAATTGCGTACTTATTGTAGGTATTGTAAGCATAACGTATTATCTCGATTTTTTAAAAAACTTTATTTTTATTTCTGAAATCGAAGTTCGACTTACATTTCTTGTCTACAAATCGATATAACATCGCTTTTACCTGAAAATCTATTATGTACTGAATTTCGGGTAGGCATCACAAGGGATGGCGTCTTAGAATACTGGAAACACAGTAATTTAATAATAATGTGTTACCAAAACTCCCACACACGTCCTTGGAATTGCGTACACTGTTCGAGATATATTTATAATTGAATGTGAAAACGACTAATTAGCTGTTCTGTGGTTCGGTGTGATAGAGGGAAATTGTGGCGTCAAATAGTTTCCTGTTTCCTCCTCTGCATCACAGTATAAATTTCCCTCACACGATCCTTTCACAGAAGATAACTACGCTGTTGGTATACAAACTTGTGAAATATTTAATACGTTTTAATAGTTCATATAAGTCACTTTTACGAAGATTTTAATCCTATCTCTTTAGTTTGTATGTGTTCCTTACACATATTGCTTAAATATATATTTATTTATTATATTATTAATAAATATATATTTAATCAACACAAACATGACGCATATAAGCTACAAATATTGCTTAAAATAAAATTATGATAGGTCGTTTTTATCTCGTCTTGAGTGTTCCATTTACAAAAGTACAGAATAAATTAACTTTAAATTCAGTAAAGAGGTATTCAAGATTCAGTTTATTAAAAAGCCTAAATTATGTATGGAATCATTTGATAAACAGGAATATATATATATATATATATATATATATATATAACTCTTTAGGTTGTATGTAATTAAATGTATCAGTATTAATTACTTCATTAAATTTGATTTTTTTTTAAAATGTTGGGCCCTGCGAAAAAAAATGTCTTTATGAAGATCGTATAAAACCATAAAATAAGAGTGTTATGTTACATAGTATCCTCATAAAGGGTAGATAAACCATGGCGATTTGGGATTAGACTACACCGGTTTGATTCCCGGCGGGGAAACAAGTTTTTCTTGCAATCTCCGAGTCTACAACGCCTCTGACTTTTCCGGAACGTAAAGCATATATAACGCTGACCATTCACCCCATCTAGTGCCGAAGTCTAGAACGAATACGAGCTACAGTTCTCCTCCCCCAAAGCGCCGATATGGTGCGCAGGACAGTTGTGCTTTATTATACACGGTAGCAAGAAACAGCTGGAAAAATGCCGTTTTAGTGAATGTGTGTCTTGAAACACTGATTAAGATAATAGTTTGTTAATGACAGGATCATTCAAGGCTGATGGGCGATTATACCACCGTACACGTGCGTGTTCAACCTCGAGATAGTAGGTGAAGGTTATGAGGATTGTGGTCTTTTACTGGCGTCCAATGTGGTTTATGTGGCAAACGTTGGAGTGGGGGGGGGGGAACACTAGTATAACCTTAGTCCAGAAGAATATTTCATTCTTACTGTGTTTATTCGTTGTAACAAATAGAAGAATTATTTGTCTGCAGAACTCAATTTTTTATTTGTTTTGTCTTAGGTACCAGAAGGAGAAGAATGTAACTAAACACGACTATAGAATTAGACTGACAAACCATTTTCGTATCTGTGAGTGAAGAGTGATTTTGTGTACATTTTAATGAAGTCAGCTTTGAAATAAGAAGTTTTTTTCTTTTTTGAAAATTTTAATAATATGGGTAAAAGAAAGGACATGACATCAGTAGACTTAAAAGAAATCATGCATTCGGACCATTCCGTCTTTGGACACAGTGTAATAGCTCGGCAGTCGACTCCAGAGATCAAAGAAGCTTCGATGTTTGTCGAAAAACCTTTACCTGGAAATAGAAAATTGGAGAAGGCAAAATCCGACAACTCTATGGTTTTGAAAAGTAATGGGACCAACAGTGATTTTAAATATAATGGAATTAATTATAAAGAAGGTGAAAATGCAAAAGAAATTTCAATTAGACATTGGCGTTCAGCAGAATTTACTACGAAGTCAGAACAACGAAACATGAGTAGTGATTATTTCAACTATAGACAAAAATCGACGTTAGTGACATCTACAAATGGCCATAGCAGTTTACACTGTTCTTCATCTCAAAGTTCTGATTCAAATGAAACGTTGTCTAATGGCAGTCGAGATTTGTCACTTTACAGTCGTAAATCGATTTTATTTCACGCATCATCATCGCTGTCCCGTGAATCATCAATTGAAGAACAAACCGAAGATGATGATGATGATAAAAGTGTTAATGGTGAAAATCGTGAACGGGGAATCAGCGGTAAAGTCGATAATCGACGTGTGTCCGAGTTACTGGATGAACTTCTTCTGGACATTTATGGGAAGTGGAGTTGTGACGGGAATCAGATTCCCTTCGGTCGACGCCGATGCTCTACAAACAGCAGCGCCTACGAGTCGGATTATTGTACTACAACTGGTTCTTCACCGACATGGAAGATTCAGTCTTGTTCCTCGGCCCAGCGCTTCAACGACTCACTGCAACGAGAAAGGCTCTCAGCCAGAAGTGAGTATTTGATATTTGTTTTTTTATTCTTGAGCTGTGTAGTCTACCGACGTTTCAGAGGTACTTAGATTTGTTAGGTTTTCACAGCGGTGAGTATGAAGATTTCTGTCTTCTGGGTTGTTGCGCTGTGTAGTCTGGTCGATGTTAACCAAATCAGACTACACAGCGCAACAACCCAGAAGACAGGAATCTTCATACTCTGATGACGGAGGCAGTATGACCTCTGAAACGTTGGTTAACATCTACCAGACTACACAGCGCAACAACCCAGAAGACAGAAATCTTCAGGTACTTATTACATTCATTTTCACGGCGATAATTTATCTCACCTCTGACCGTCATTAAACTTGTATCAGCAACATTTCTGAAAGCAGCCATTTTTATATTAGCCGCAATTAAATTTCTATTAATACTTGTTATTTGCTGTTTGTATTTAACTCTTAAAGCTATGAATCCATTCTGTGGGGATCCGAAATTAATACTAAGGAAATATGTTGTCAAGTCGTGAACAATATTCAATTATCGATTGTGGTATTATAATTTATGACAGCGTATAGACTTTTAGATGGTTTCCAACGTTTCGGAGGTATATATTACCTCATTCTTCAGGACAGAAATTCTAGCTTAGGATGGTGACCAGTTACGTCCTATGGCATTATAGTAGCCGTCACCAAATTGCATGCTACAAGGCCACTGAAAGACTTTACTTTACTTATCGCTGGCTCTAAATCACTAGTTTTGATAGCTTTGCTACTCTGCGAGTTCTGAGCTGCCTTCAATCGCTTTGTCTCTGCTGTTCGTGTTGAAAGATTGTACGATTTTGATGTGACCTTGAAACATGCAGTTTTGTGACGGCTGCTATAGTTAGATTTGATTTCCGTGTTCAGAGAATGTGCAATATGAGTGTTGGTTTTATTTAGGTGTCCCCGAACTTGAAGCTTTAGTAGCTTCGCGACGCTTTGACGTCCAGTACGCAGGGTCGATTTTAGTACGCCAGCTCAAGCGTCGTGACGCCCTCATCTCAAGACGCGACAAACAGAATGACGTCGTCACAGCTTTTCTACAGGCCTTGTCTGAAAAGAGGAGTAAGTACCTTGTTCTGTTTATAATATATATTACAAATATGGTTTGATATTAGAATAACTGAATTTATTCAGGCAATATCCTGTACAATGAATGTCTTTAAGAATTTGTATAACTATTTGAGGGGACTGGAATAATCGATACATATCGAATGTGCGATAAATATCTTTAAGAATTTGTATAACTATTTGAGGGGACTGGAATAATCGATACATATCGAATGTGCGATGAATGTCTTTAAGAATTTGTATAAAGATTGAAACGGATTGGAATAATTGACAGATATCGAATATGAGAACCAGTAAGTTACGACGACTGTAAAAGTTTAAAAAAGAAGAATATGAAGAAAGAGATGGAAGTTTATTTAGTTGCATTTGGGACAAGATCAGAAAATAGACGAATAATTGTTAGAATAAATAGTTGATACCAAATAAACTGAAACTTCTGGAATGGTAGAAATTAGCAGACGAAAGGATGTTATGACAAGGATTGTTAAATGTGTGTACCTAATAGAAGTGAAGACTAAATTGACTCAAAATTCTATCCACCAGTATTTATTGATATTACATGATTAATTTCCGGTTATGTGCTTTATAAAATCGATTCTTAGATATCTAATTTCACGAGTTTCCTTTTGAATTATAAAGTTGCATTAAACTGCGTTTCGAAGACCATGAAATGTCTCTTACCCACAGTCAGAAATTAATTGATTTTTTATATTTTGTTCCATGAAAGTCTTCTACAGGGAAGCACTAATTTAATTTCCCCCCTCTTAAGTTAATTAAATTTATATTGATGAAGGCATTCAGAAATTACATCAAAGTAACACAAACATACGCACAGTTATAATGGCCCCTAAGTAATAATATTCTCCAGAACAATCAAATTTATATGCGTTTAGAACAAAGTATAATTAAAGCAAGAGTTGTACGTGTCCTTTCCACGAAATAAAATCATATAATTCATGTTTGGCTCGTTTGTTACGTATCCAAAATGTAAATTCATATTCACGTTAAATGTATTTCGTCGCTGTGTTATCGCCTCTAGATTTTAAATCCGTGATTCTGTATTTTTGTTCAATTATCTCTAAAACCGTAAGACTTACTAAAAAGTTTACATGACATAAAATGTATGTTTTTTTCTCTCTTTGTATCTTTCATCCGAGATATTTTTCTCTCAGATAAATATTTAATAAGTTAGGCTCGGTAGGTCTTCGTGAATTGATATCGACAAAATTTGAAATTTGTGCAAACATGTTTTAGTTAAATTCCCCAGTGTCAAATTTAATGGCGTCCTGCAAGTTAGCGAATTTCCTTAAAAGTCGTTTGAAAGACTTCGCTGTGTAAGTTTCTAACTGCAAGTCCACGGGACTTTATAACCGAGAAGTCTGACTTTTAAGTCTTCACCGCCACGAGAAATTCGGATCTCAAAAGATTAATTACATGAATGTGATTAACATTTAGATACCGCTACATTAAATCTTTCATATTTGCGAGAAAAATGTTCTTTTGTCTACATCCAGTTCTGTACACAGACACAAGAAGATAAAACCGTTCTTCTACTTCTCTCTCTCTCTGCAAACTGCCACGAAAGCAGACGAACTTACAATTGCAGGTCTCTGTAAACATCTCGTCTTCATATTTGTTGTTTGTCTTGTAGTCGCTATGTAAATATAAGATTCTTTAGTGATATCTGATGTTTCAGTAACTGGTGTAGGTTGTGACAAGACATCGATAAAACGTCTTAAGCAATTTTACATTGTAAAATCTGATACACAGAATGAATTAGATCAAGTTATCTTAAACTTTTTTGTTGTTGAAAAATCAGCATCAATAACACATTCAGTTTCTTACCATCAGATATAATTTTGTAGAAATATATCTTAATTTATGAGGTACTTACTGCCTCTGTCATCGGGGTATCACTCTGGTGATAGAATAGAACGTACGTAAATTTTAAACTGCCTTGAGAACCTGAAATCTTACCACATTTAGTCTGTTTGAGTACAGGGTGGTGATTTTCGTAATTAAAAAGTGATGATGTCACATGAATTTGGAGACGATGAATAATTTGTATTAATCGTCTTATTATAATGATTATAAAATCAAAGAGGTTGGAATGGACGGGGTATGTAGCACGCATGAGAAAAAAGATAGCTGCATACAGAATTTAATCGAGAGACGTGAATATCTAGGTATGGATTGGAATATAATATTAAAAAGTATCTTAAAGAAATGAAATGTGACGATTCTGATCGATTTCAATTGGTGTAATATAGGATCCTGTGGTAAATTATTGTAATGAAATTTCGGTAATCGTAAACTAATGTGAATTTTTTAATCAGCTGAGCAACTGTCATGTTTTCAGGGAGACAGCAAGATGGTACACGCTTCGGTAAACTAAATATATTTATTTTAAGTAGTCTGTGTTGTTTGACGATACGGAAAATAAAATTATCCAATTTTAGATCTACTGATAGCCTCCCCTTTAATCTCGTTTAATGATGATAAAAGTATCTGACTAAAGACTTAATTTCAAATTGGCTACGGAATTATTATTATACATAATCGTTTTACGACCTAGATGTCACTCTAGTAGAGATAAGCTTCCTTGTTGGCATGTAAGGCGTGGAAGCCACTCGGGTTTCTGTTTTCTGCAAACTAAGACCGAGAATTGAAATGAGATTGCCCCAAGGGCTTAGGTCAAGGTAAGGACAAGCCAGGAGCTCTGATAGTTGGAAATACGTTCACTTTGGCTAATCTCTGACCTTCTAGAGTTCTGTAAGTGACGTGAACTTCGCGAGAGACGATAATGAATAGGAGATACAGAACGTGAACGCTATATCAGTAAGGGTGTTTATTAACTTGGTGCCTTGATTACGTAATCGTTCTTTACGACAGTGTTTCTCAACCGGGAATTCGCGAACACCTGAGGGCCCGCAAGATGTGCTTAAGGGGTCCACGAATTGTGTAGATTTTATAATATTTTTTACGCTGTATTGATGAAGAATTTTGAGCTTTTTTTATAACTGTTTTGCTTCGACATTGGAATAAAAATTATGACGCAATAACTATACACCGCCACGGTGGTCTAGAACGCTGGCCTTGTAGTCCTGGGGTCTCGGGTTCGATTCCCGGCGGTGCCCGGATTTATAACTTGTGTTGGGCAAGGCCGTGGTCTAGGCAACACGGAGTTTTCCTCCGTGGCATCCCAACAATTACTCCATTCACACACAGAAGAAGGCAATGGCAAACCACTTCTGGATCATCTGCCAAGAACGTATATGAACAGGTCCCAGTCCGAGAAAAGGATAGAAGGATCCTGTTCATATGGACCTGTCGTCAGACAGAACACTAATAATAATAATAACTATACCTTTAATATATATTTTAGTTCGGTTTATAATCAGTCCTAAAATGAGCCTTAAAATTCCATGAAATATTAAATTATCGTTATAATTATATGTCTGTTTTATTGGATAGAGTAGTTTTGGAGGTAGGCTAAATGGATCATAGAAAAATTGTAACTTTTTTGGGATTTTTCTAGAATTATAGTAAACACGAAACTTAAAAGATCATCATATTCTTGGCACTGCTTATTATGTTAATTGTATAATACTACGGTGCTCATGTTATAGGTGTGATTATGAAATATCGTATGTATTCAGTGTACGTATTATTGAATAATAAAAAAGGTAAGATTGCCGAAGAATATGATGATATTTGTGTAGCATGTTTACTGATGAAAAATACATCGCAGATCTTGAAAAAAGTTTCATTTTCCTTTGTGATGAATTCGTTGTAGTGTATTCATGTATGGTTTTGGTTCAGATTTTAAATTCAGTGTAATCAATCTTTAGGGAGTGACAGTGATATTTGATTCCAGACTGAATAATGAAGTCGGAGGAATCATCATTGTCTGTTGGTGGAGTCTTTGCCCTTTAAAGTCATTGCAGTACAAACTTGGGGGAATACCCTTTTAATCCATCTTCATTGTATTTGATACGTCAACATCTTGGCTTTAGGTTGTATTGAAAACTGTACAAATTACATATCGATTCCACTTTTTCATGTTACTTTGTTTTTACTTACAATGGAATTAGAAACAAAGAATAATAAATGAAAAAGTACAGGGTGTTCTGTTTAAATCGTTACGTAACTATGGAATATTTGTATGCTTTGGTGATATAAATGTAACAAGACAAATGAGTTTTTTTTTTAGTTTTGTTAGTTTGGTAATTGTGACATTAAGCTTTTGTAAAATTTCATTCAGTGTCTACCAGAGTAAACTGTACAGTATCCAAGGCGAAAGTCATTTTAACAGGTACCTTTATTTATCTTTGAAATATATGTTAACAAAATATAATTTTTTTTTTGTGTAGCGATTAGGACGTGACGTATATTTTATATATGTCTGAGTTTTGTTCCTTTTGTAATTTTTGCATTCCCGAGGAAATTGAGAACAGACTGAATTCTGGGAATGTTTTCTGTCATGTAATTCAAAGAATCCTTTGTATTTCATTCTGCTGTCTAAAAATTTGAAAACTGAAACATACGAAAATATAATATGGGTGTAGGAGAATAATACGGGTTGCCTAGGGGTATATTCGGACCTACAAGGGATGATAGAGAAAATTACATTTGAGAAGATTCATAATCTCTATTCTTCGCATTGGTGTTGAGCTGAGTGAGACACACAGCAAGGGTAGATGAGAAATACACACCTATACGAAGACAGTAGTACTTCTGGACATATAGGAACAATCACTCCTACATCTATAACCGATATGTACTTCTGATAAAATTTAAGAAAAGACAACACCTCGCCCAAAAATGAAAAACAAACGTAATGAAACATCACCAAATGGAATCATATTTGAGTTTTAAGTTCGTAAATCTTTTACACCTGAAGATGGTTTTATAAAAACTGAAACATGTTGTGTAAAATGTTCCAAAATGTAAATCGATCAATCGATATGGAACATCAGTGATATTTTATTATC